TTAATTTTGTTGCTTACTCCGGGATATTAAAATATAGGTGTAATATTCCAGAACAGCAAAGACGCTTTCAGACTTTCACCAGAAGCACCAGGACACACACCGATATGTAAAAAATGCTACGTTGATCTTCTTCACCTTCAGCTGCTATGTTTTGCCCGCAGCCTCCTGTATGTGTCAGTTTAATTTCTGCCAGCCAAGTTATTGAGCTCTTTGCCACCAGAGGGAGGCAGAACCCACAAGCAAAGCAGTTGCCAGAGGAATTCAGCCCAGATTTCCAGGAGCACATTATGGGGAAATGTCATCTGCACTGGAGGAAGCGAGCAGTGTAGCCGGGCCCAAGATTTCCGAGCTTGGTGGTGTTGATGCTTAATATCCTGCTTATTCTGGGCTCTGGATCTTCCCCTTTGCTATCTTTTTAGAAACAAGGGTTGAAAACAGTACAAGAAAAACTCAACAGCAGGGTGGTTCTGCGCTCTCTCTCTCTCTAGCATTGCATATTATTATGAGATTATTATTAGTTTAAGTTTCATGTTTGTGGTCTTGGCCAGTACAGTGAGAGACCAAAATGTGCTTTTCAGTTGTCATTAATAGTTTCAGGGTTAAAACACAGTTCTCGTGACCGCTTCCTCTGAGGGAAACAGCTATAGTTGTCTAAGCTCAAAATGAAACATAACCGCTTATAGGAGAAGAGTCAGCTCTGGAATGTTTCAGGGTCTGAAAATCCAGATGGGACACACACAACCCCCCCCCCCATGCTAATTAACCTGGAGCACAATCTAGCAGGAAACTCCCCAGCGTGAGATGGATTCAAATTTATGAGCACTCCTGCTTGTCTTATAGAGATCAGTGGTGGCTGTTTCTTTGAGTGTGAAATCTGCCGCATATTGTGAATGCATGAATGCAAAATGTGTGCATTTTCATCTCCTTTTCCTTATTGCAAAAACTCTGGTCTTTTGGGGAAGTGGGTTTGCTGCTCAAGAGCTATAATTACACAACCTGAATTTGCTGGGATGCGATCAAATCCCACCCCAAAATAGTAACAGCCTATAAATGCCGTAATCCAGCCTTTATTGTTGAGATTTCTTTGTGGTGTGGTTATATAATCATGAGCATTCATCCTGATTCACTTACAAGATGTCTACACATTTCCCTATTAATTTCTTTTGAAGTTTGTTTTTAAAATTAATGTAAAATCAAAAATACAAACAAAAACATAATCAAAGTTGCAAAACATGGGAGCAGTACAGTGGTGCCTCGCAAGACGAAATTAATTCGTTCCGCGAGTTTTGTCGTCTTGTGATTTTTTTCGTCTTGCGAAGCACGGTGTTGGGAAAGTTTTGGAAAAGCTTCAAAAATCATCAGTCTTTAAAAACCTCAAAAAAGGCTACCACACCGCGTTCTATGAGTTGCTCCTCGAAGTCAAGTCGCAACTGTATTAACGGTGTTAAGACACAGGAAACAAACTTGCAAGACGTTTCCGTCTTGCGAAGCAAGCCCATAGGGAAAATCGTCTTGCGAAGCAGCTCAAAAAACAAAAAACCCTTTCGTCTAGCGAGTTTTTTCTCTTGCGAGGCATTCGTCTTGCGAGATACCACTGTACAGAGGTTGTATTTTCCAAATAAAAAGAGAGTCGATAATGTAGGGCAGTGTTCCCCACCCCCGGGCCGCGGACCGGTGCCGGTCCGTGGATCAATCGGCACTGGGCCACCCGAGGAACTTCAAATCATTTCACTGTGGTGGGCGGCCGAGGCGCAGAGCATTGCGCCCTCTCAAGCCCGCCCATTGTGTGACAATAGCGAATGAAAATTCGCTATTGTTACACTGATGCTCCTCCTGGCCAATCAGGGAGCGGGTCCTCACGCCATTGGACGAGGAGGAGGTGCCACGGGAGGACTGAGGACTCGAGGTCGGAGACGCGGGGACTGAAGAGAAGCTGCCGTGAGGTAAGTGCACGGAGGGGGGGACTCAGCACTATCAAACGGAAAGAGGAGCAGCAATGGTTTTATTAGAATGCCCTCTCATTCACCCAGGCCTATTGCACTTATTTACCGTATTTTTCGTTCTATAGGACGCACCGGCCCATAGGACGCACCTCGTTTTTTGGGGGGGAAATGAATAAAAAAAATTATCCCCCCCCGCGGCTGCCGCCCCAAGCCTCGCGTGCTTCGGGCTGCAGGCTACCGCCCCAAGCCTCGCGTGCTCGGCGGGACCTCCTGCCGGGCGCGCAAGGCTTGCAGACACTCGCCTGAAGCACGGGGAGCCCTCCGGAGGGCTCCCGTGCTTCGGCGACAGGCTGCAGCCCCAAGCCTTGCGCGCTGGGCGGGACCTCCTGCCGGGCGCGCAAGGCTTGCAGACACTCGCCTGAAGCACGGGAGCCCTCCGGAGGGCTCCCGTGCTTCGGGCGACAGCTGCAGCCCCAAGCCTTGCGCGCTGGGCGGGACCTCCTGCCGGGCGCGCAAGGCTTGCAGACACTCGCCCGAGCACGGGAGCCCTCCGGAGGGCTCCCCGTGCTTCGGGCGACAGCTGCCGCCCGAGCCTCGCGCGCTCGGCGGGACCTCCTGCCCGGGCGCGCAAGGCTTGCGGACACTCGCCGGGGCTGCAGGCTGCTGCCTGCAAGCCTTGTGAGCCCGCGGGAACTCCCACCGGGCTCGCAAGGCTTGCGGATAGCTTCCTGAAGCCTGGAGAGCGAGAGGGTCGGTGCGCACCGATGCCTCTCGCTCTCCAGGCTTCAGCGAGCCTGCATTCGCTCCATAGGACACACACATTTCCCCTTCATTTTGGAGGGGAAAAGTGCGTCCTATGGAGCGAAAAATACTGATAGGTCAACAACTCCTGGGTCGAATGTGTTTGTGCGGGTTCAGGCATAAATGCACGGAGGGGGGGGCGGGGTTCTCTGCTATTGAGGAGACTCAGCACTATGGCGCGATGATCTCTGTATTGAAAGGGGGAACGCTGGGGCATCTCTGTATTGAAAGGGGGCACAGTCATCTTTTGTGATTTATATATATAAGTACGCCATGAAAGCCAAATTTCACAGAGATCAGCTGGTGAATAATTTCCCCATGTTTGATCACCGCTTGTTACTGCTGGCCCACTGGCTGCTAAAGGTGCAGCTTCAGGGCTGACTTCAAAATCTGGCAGACTCAGCCGTGGGAACCATGGAGTCCTGGGTTCAAATTTCACTTCTGCTCTGAATTTGCTGGACAACTTTAGGCAAACTGCTTTCTCTCAGCCTCAGTCTTTCCATCTGCAAAATGTGTGGGTGATGCTGTGCTTTCAGAATGTTATTTAACAGAAAAGTGATTCATGAGTCAGTGAGATATGTAGATAAAACATGCAAGCCGTTAATGCAATTTTTAAATTTTTATTTATTTTTTATTCGTTGTTTTTGAAGTAGAAGACTAAGGCGCTTTTCAAACCAAAGCAAATAGCAGCATTGCAATGGTGAAGCCTCGGTGTTGGAGGAGTAGGCCAGGTTGCCAGCTGACCAGAAACCTTCACCACTCAGCTCTTGTGCCTTTAACTGCAGCTTGATATGTCAAAACTAGCCAGGCAAGCTTTTCACAGCATTCTGATGAATCAGTGGTTCCCAAACCTTTTCGGTGCATCACCCCCTTGGTTCTATAAACTCATCCCCGATGCCCCCTACCCTATAAAAAGCATTCAGAATAGCAGTTTGCATGACCCACTAAGGAAGATAATAACACAATACAGTGGTACCTCAGGTTAAGAACTTAATTCGTTCAGGAGGTCCATTCTTAACCTGAAACCGTTCTTAACCTGAGGTACCACTTTAGCTAATGGGGCCTCCTGCTGCCGCCACGCGATTTCTATTCTTAACCTGAGGTAATATTTCTGGGTTAGCGGAGTCTGTAACCTGAAGCATCTGTAACCTGAGGTACCACTGTAAAATTCAGAACAGCAACAATTAATTGCATTTATTAAAACTCAACAAAATTGATGAACTTGATCTACTCATGCCAACTTTTCAAAGCATAGCAAATTACAGCGCCCCCCCCCTCTGCTGCCCCCTTGCCTCAGTGCCCCCCAAGTAATCCCATAACTCCTCAAGGGGAAATATCGCCCATTTTGGAGATAAATACTCTCTATTGCTATTGTCTGCAAGTCAAGGCACTGCTAAAGATGCAAAAACGGGCTGTTTGAAAACTGGACAACTCAAAAATCCATGGAGAGGTGCAAGGCGTGTGTATGCACTGAGAAATCAGGCCTTCAGCTGTTATCAACATTTTCTTCAGGCCTTGCTCCTGTGCCATTAACAGCTGCTTGGAATAAATTCCTGTCCATCATTACATCTTTACGCTGCAGTGCAGAGGGGGGAGCAGGGAGATATTTACCGTATGTTTTGCTCTATAAGACTCACTTTTTATGTGTGTGCGTCTTATGGAGCGAATGCAGGCTGCGCAGCTATCCCAGAAGCCAGAACAGCAAGAGGGATTGCTGCTTTCACTGTGCAGCGATCCCTCTTGCTGTTCTGGCGTCTGAGATTCAGATTATTTTTTTTCTTGTTTTCCTCCTCCAAAAACTAGGTGCGTCTTGTGGTCTAGTGCGTCTTATAGCGCGAAAAATACGGTATTTTCATCCTAATGGGCAGCTGTTAAACACACACACAAGCCCTGCCTGGAGAAGTTGGCAACCTCGACAGCCACACAGAAACCCTCCTGTAAATATTTGGTCTTCCTTCCTCTAATTTCGAGCAGGGTTGAAATCTGTGGTTATTTGCAAATGAAATTTCTCTTTCACTCTGACTAGGCACTCTGATTTGAGTCAAACCCCATAGTGTGTGAAGAAAGCATGTTTTTGGTATCAAAGGGGGCAAGTTCCCCTCTGAAACTCCTGATGAGTCAAATGGATGCTCTCCTTTCAGTTATGGGCCCGAAAGGCCCAAGGCAAGACTGGGAGGGGCTGGGGGTGGAGGTGGTGCAAATTTGCCTTTGCTTACTTTAAACCCTGCTCATATTGGATTGCCAACCTTTTTTATGGCTTCTGCTCAGCTGGTAGAGTACAGTATGAGACTCTCAATCTCAAGGTTGTAGGTTCGAGCCCCACATTGGACAAAAGATTCCAATAATAATAATAATAATAATAATAATAATAATAATAATAATGTATTTATATGCCACCCATCTGACTGGATTGCCCCAGCACTCTGGGGGCTGGGCTAGATGACCCTCGTGGTCCCTTCCAACACTACAATTCTATGATCCCTGTTCTGGTGCCTTTCATACCATAGTTTGGTAAGCTTTAATTTGCTAGGAGATCATGAGAAAACAGAAAGTTTCACCTCTTAAATTTCTGGGTGTCAGAAGTAGATGACTGGAGTCAATAAAAAAAGGCCGCAACTCTTGGTGCAAATCCAGACAGGGTTACCAACTTTCTCTTCTTTTTTTACAAGCCCCCTGCTTATGTTACTTTAACAGTAATTTAAGCTGCATTCACTTAACAGGCAGTAATACTTATCTTCATTCTGGAGAAAGCTTCACTCACTGATTTCTGCAGCTCAAGGCACAGAAGCGACTCAGACCTTTTTTCCTGGCCAGTTGGCAATCTGTTCTTAGATGTATTCATTTTTAATAGCAATTTAGAGAAGCAAATTAAAATCAGGGAAGGCTCCTGTGTAGTTCTGGTTCATTTCAGTTAGGCTTGTGCTGGAGGACGTCCCCATGTCTGCCTCTGCTTGTGAAGATAAATCTGACCTTCTTTGGGTTGCTAAGTCTTGAGCACCGCACATTCTCTGCCGTGCCACCTTTTCTTATTTGGGACACATCCTGGCCTTTAACTGCCACCAGAAATGACAACATTAAGCAGCTGCAGCTGGGCTCTCGCCCAATAACTTAATTTCCATACCAGGAAAAGTAATCCAGTTGATTAATATTTACACACCTGCTCGCTGGATGGTACCCGCCAGCTTCAGGATCAGTCTCCCCCCAAAATTCAGCAAGAATGGACTGCCCCCTCCTTGTCCTGGCTGCCCACAGTGTGCCTCTGAATCCCAGTTGTGGGGGCCCCAAGTGGGGAGAGTGCTGCTGTTACACTTAGGTGTGACTTGTGGGCTTCTCGAAGGCATCTGGGTGGTCACTGTGAGAAGAGGATGCTGAGCTACAAGGACCGTTGGCCTGAACCAGCAACCTGGCTCTTAGAATCATGGAATCATAGAACTTTAGTGTTGGAAGGGACCCTGGGGGTCATCTAGTCCAACCCCCTGCAGTGCAGGAAACTCAGCTAAGGCATCCATGGCAGATGGCCACCCAACCTCTGCTTTAAAACCTCCAAGGATGGAGAGTCCACAACCTCCCAAGGGAGACCACGGTCAAACAGCTCTTACTGTCAGAAAGTTCTTCCTGATGTTTAGTCAGAATCTCCTTTCTTGTCACTTGAAGCCATTGATTCGAGTCCTACCCTCCAGAGCAGGAGAAAACAAGCTTGCTCCATCTTCCAAGTGACAGCCCTTGAGAGAATTGAAGAAGGCTAGCATTTCTCCTCTCAGTCTCTTCTTTTCCAGGCTAAACATATCACCTGATGATTCTGGAGGTCAATCTGTTATTAAAAGCACAGAAACAGAACCAGTGGGGTATTTTTTCCTGGTGTATTGGCAGCCTTAAATCTGGCATATGCCCTGGGCAGAATAAAGACTGAGATTCGTGAGATGTGAAATTCTCCCATGGAGATTAAACTCTGTCTTTGCATGATGGGAATCAGCAGCCTGTAGCACTTGGAAGAATGTCAGATGGAGTCGTGTGACCTAACATTAACCCAGGTTCTTCCACACCCCATTTTGCTTCCTTTGCTGCAGCTCAGAATCTGGCAGCTTTGATCAGTCATTTCTTACCTGTTTATGCTGCCTTTCATAAAACTGTTTTTTTAACAAGCCCATTTGATGTTTTTGCTGGCTTTGTTTGAGTCACAAAGTGGGGATTTTTAAAAACCGTTTTAAACGTGGTTAGATTATAAAGGGGATTCTTAGTATAAAGAGAATAGTGTTCTCTCGATATAATAGCATGGTTCCCACCAGATCAGCTAAATGGAACGGGTTTCAGAATACAGAAATGAAAACTTGATGGGTTAATCAACTCATGCTTTGGTTGGTTAACATATAATATATACAACATATAACAGTCTCTCACACTTCTGTCCTGTTCTTTGCTTAGGAAGCTGAGTGGCTTGCCTGGGACTCCCACCGGTCTCCTCGTGAGGGTGGCTGTGCACCCTACTTTACAGAGGACTGTCCTTTGGTTGAAGGGCTGCCCGTTCCAAGTCCTCTTCCATGAGATGGAAGAGCAGGGAGGGGAGGGGGGGCTTGGCATTGCCCTTCCACACTTGGCAGCGCCCCGACACCCGACTGAGCAGGCGGGCAGGGCAGTCAACTGGCCAGAGCCACCCCAAGGTGAATTGGGTTTCTAGTTAAATAATAGTAATTTATTTCTAACTGAGTGTATGCAAATCAGTGTCCTTTTTTGCCCTCCGTTTTGGCAATGCGTAAGTGGCCATCAAAAGGGATGTGGGTGGCGCTGTGGGTTAAACCACAGAGCCTAGGACTTGCCGATCAGAAGGTCAGTGGTTTGAATTCCCACAACGGGGTGAGCTCCCATTGGTCAGTCCCTGCTCCTGCCAACCTAGCAGTTCGAAAGCACGTCAAAGTGCAAGTAGATAAATAGGTACCACTCTGGCGGGAAGGTAAATGGTGTTTCCGTGCGCTGCTCTGGTTCGCCAGAAGCGGCTCTGTCCTGCTGGCCACATGACCCGGAAGCTGTACGCCGGCTCCCTCGGCCAATAAAGTGAGATGAGCACCGCAACCCCAGAGTCGGTCACAACTGGACCTAATGGTCAGGGGTCTCTTTACCTTTACCTTTAAGTGGCCATCGAAGCACCAGGCCCCTGGCAGGGACACAGATGTTGTGGCAAGCCCTTCCAGCCTGAGTTGCTTCAAGTACTGCTCGTCCTCTAGGCCCCCTGGAGGGATTTCCTCCCTGCTCCCCTCCGCTCTGAGAAAGGACCAGGGGGCTGCTGTGGCAGAGCAGCACAGACATTCTTGTGGCCCAAATGCCTGGCTCTGAAGAAGGACCTCTGGGTGGAAGAGAGGGAGGAGGAGAAGGAGAACTCACTGCTGTTGCCTAAGGAATGAAGGAGGAATTCAACACTGGCAAGCCTCACCTAATTCGCACTTCCCAAAACCATGTGCAAACTGAAGAGAAGGTGTCCTTTAAAATTCGCACTTATCCACATTTTGTAGCACAGTGCAGTTCTTGCAAATGTACAAAAATGTCTACATTGGGAAAATGTGTGTACATAATGCATATGTTAGTAAAAACAACATACACTAATGCATAATATTACAGGAAATTTCTTGCAAGATGGGGAAATGCATACATAAATAGGTACTTTAGGAGAAATTTGCATTTAAATGCTGATGAATTTTCATGATGAATCTTTTTTTAAAAAAAGAAAATGCAAACTGATGCAGAAATGTGGAGAACAGAAGGTAAGATTGGAAAAAATGAGAAGAGAAACAGAAACTGACAGATTCATTCATCCCTCTTGGCTTCTTAAAATACTTCTTTAAAAACTTTGCTCCCCTTAACGGCTACTGCCACTGCCATGTTTCTCTTCACTTCTGCCCTCTGCCTCTCAAGGGACCTGAGAAATCCAATTATGGCTGGATTTTTTAAAAAAATCCTACAATCAGAATCAGAATTGTAGAATCATAGAGTTGGAAGGGACCCCGAGGGTCATCCAATCCAACCCCCTGCAGTGCAGGAATCCTGCCCACAGCTGTCCCTGAGTGGGTTCAAACCACCAGCTTTCTGGTTAACAGCCAGATGCATTAACCCCTTGCACCACAGAGAGTTTATTATATTTATATATAATGTCATGCATCCAGAGGTATCCTAAAGTGATTTACAGCACAGTGGTACCTTGGTTCTCAGACTTAATCCGCTCTGGAAGTCTGTTCCAAAACCAAAGCGTTCCAAAACCAAGGCGCACTTTCCCATAGAAAGTAATGCAAAACACATTAATCCATTTCAGACTTTTAAAAGCAACTCCTTGCAATTTAACATGAATGTTACTATCTAACAAGACCACTGATCCATAAAATGAAAGCAATAATCAATGTACTGTATTATAAAATAAATATGACATTATTGTAGATGATAAAAATTAAAATTAATTTTTTTTCTTACCTGCACTGATGATAGTCAATGTTTGGATGGGGGGGCTTTTAACCACTTCTGCAGTCATGCAATCAATCAGTAGCTGAACTGGGTTCCATACAGGCACGAAAACAAATTAACCGAAGAAGCCTCAAAAAAAAAAAAGGAAAATAAATAGCAAAAGCCAAAGCACCAAACTTAATCGGTTCCGGAAAGCTGTTTGACTTCTGAAAACCAAGGTGCAGCTTCTGATTCCAGGTGCCCTGGAAACAATAGCTGACAGCCACATCGGATGTTCGGCTTCTGAAAAATGTTTGAAAACTGGAATACTTACTTCCAGGTTTTCGGCATTTGGGAACCAAGGCGTTTGAGAACCAAGGTACCACTGTAATAAAATACCAATGCAGACTACTACAAGTGTTCATTTGAAGAAAAATAATTTAAAATACAGTAGTAGAATTCCACACAGGATGAACACTAGTAATCACCAAATGCTTGACAATCAATGCTGTCCAAATGTCCATGAGAACTAAAACTTCTTTGCCTGGTGCTGGAAAGATGTCAAAGGCAGGCCTTCGTGGGGAAAGCATCCCACAGGAATCCTCTTTAAGTGGGAGACAACTGCAGAAAAGGCTGTTTCTCTCATTGCCAACCTCTGAATACCTCTCAGATGCGACACAAAGAGAAGGGCCTCATAACCAGCCTCATATAACCAAAATGCTTACGTCTAATTAATGCATGGACAGATTAATGCCGTAAACTGACCTGCCACATCACCTGCTCCTTGAGAGGAAAGTGACCAAGCCTATTGTTCACCTGAGAAGCTCAGCGTGTAAAGAGGCCTGAGCTCCAGGCTCTGGTTCCATGGCTTTAACAAGCCTTTCTTGTGCCCATATACCAATCATTTAGGAACTTTCACCACTGTAACTAAGCCAAGCTTTACTGCCTGTGTTTTCTGACTGATGTATGAACACATGGACCTGACATTTGGAGAGTTTGTAAGTAAACCAATTTTTAGCTTAACCAAATATATGATCTTTTTCTATGTTAGTGGAAGAGGGGAAATTTGGAATGAACTTAAAGAGAGAAGGCAAGGGGGCAGATGCTGGCTGCCTGGCGGGCACTGTGGCCGAGTTGGCACTGCTGGGGCTGCGGGGGTAGGAAGAGGAAGCTGCTGGCAGTCACAGCCTCGCTGGGCCTGGACGGCTCTCTGCTGCTGTTGCTGCTGCTGCTGCTGCTGCTGCTTTTCCCGGCTGCTCATGTGGAGGAGCGCAAGAAGGGGCCCAAGGTCATGGCCAAGGTGTATTCTGATCTGCAGATTGAGGATGAAGATGTGGGGTGAGTTGTCATCGGCTTTTTTGGAAAGACAGTTCTGAGGACGGTTGAGAATTTTGTCACCTTGTCCACAGGAGAGAAAGGCTTTGGCTACAAAGGCAGCAAGTTTCACTGTGTGATCCAGGACTTCATGATCCAGGGGGAAGACTTCACCTGGGGAGATGGAACAGGAGGTAAAAGCATCGACGGGGACCATTTCCCTGATGAGAACTTCAAGCTGAAGCACTATGGGCCTGGCTGGGTGAGCATGGACACCAGTGGCTCTCAGTTCTTCATCACCAATGTCAAGATGTCATGGCTGGATGGCAAGCATGTTGTCTTCGGCAAAGTCCTGGAAGGGATGGATGTAGTGAGAAAAGTGGAGAATACAAAGACAGTCGAGACAAACCCCTGAAGGACGTCACCATTGCTGACTGCAACACCATCAAGGTGGCGAAGCCATTTGCCATGGCCAAAGAAGAACTGGGTGGCTGCCGGAGGGCCAGACTCTGGCTTTCAAAGGGCTGCGAGGGGGCTACACACAGAGGCCTTGCATCGTCCCCCCCCCCCCAGCAGATGGACTGCCTCCACTGCTGCTCCCTTTCTGCCTGCCCTTCCCCCAGCCACACTCTTCAGGATGGGGGGGCTCCATTCTTGTCACAACTCATTCCATCAGCCACTGGTCATCCAAGTGGCTTCGAGGGCTGGGGGGCAATGGGTGTTCCATTCTGTTTTGTGAGAAAGCACATGGACCAATAAATGCAACAATTGTGTTTTTGTAAAAATACAAAACAAAACCTTTTAAATTAACTTAGAAGGCCGTATATTAAAGGTCTAACATCCTATATTTCCACGCTTTGCTTTGCTGCATATTTTGAAATTTTAAATCTCTGCTGGGGTTCTTTTACCAAATAGTACTTGTCCCAAATCTTGATCTTGTCATCCGAGGAATTCTCTCTCTCTCTCTCTCTCTCTCTTCCTTGCCACAAACAAGATGCTGATCTCAGAGTCCGTGTAGCTTCATATATGGGGAAAGGTAGTCCACGAAGCTTCATAGGTCAAAACCAGCATGGACTTAGATGAGAGAGGTGCAACCTGAAACAAGAAAAATTCAGTCTGCTCTGCATTATGGCTCCTGGAAGCCATCCTTTGGAGGAGAAGGCTGTTCGTGGCTACCAGCCGTGATGGCTGCGTTCTGCCTCCACTGTCCCAAGGGGAGGGCGCTGTGGTGCTCCGGTCCTGCTCTGAGGCTTCCCGTAGGCATCTTATTCATCAGTGGGAGAACAGGATACTGGACTAGATGCTCTTACAACTGTTTCAGTTTGAAGATGTTGTGTCTTCATCATCAAGGCAGCTTTTTCTCCCCCCGCTATCTTTGGCTTAACATGCAGCCTGATGAAGAGTTCTGGAGAACTTGAAAGATTGCTCACTATTAGGTGACACTACAAAAATCTCTTGTACTGAGTCAAACTCTTGCTCTAATTTGATCATTGTTGTCTGCACTAACTGGCAGAGACTCTCCAGAGTCTTGCCCTACTGTGTGGGTAATATTTTTGGACAGAATAGGATAGGATATATTGAGTCGAAAGAAGAAACACTCTCTTGGCTTTTAAATCAAGGAAGGGCAGACTGTTGCAAAACAGAACCCAACAACACAAAAAGGAAGTGCAATAATATGGAAGAAGTGTGGTTGTGCTGGTGCTGACAAGGGCACTGTGTGTGTGTGTGTGTGTGTGTGCATGCGCACAAGCGTGTGCATGCTAGAAACACACAATAACTTCCTGATTTTCATCTGTGAGATGTTTGAGGCTGATAAACCCCAGCCTCCCCACCATTTCCCCCCAATTTGATCAAAATGGGTCTAGCCCTGCTTCTGTGCCTTCCATGAAGAAATTCAACAAACCAAAGTTTTTCCCAGTTTGGTTTTAAAGTGATGAAGGTGGTGGAGGAGGGAGCTTAATTTTGGCCGCACCAGGTTGCTGTTAAAGGCACAGGAGCCAGACTGGTGAAAAACATGGCAACCTTACATGTTCAGGTGCCCTTGTGCAAATGGCTCTTTGACTTCTGCTCTCATGGAGCAGCCCTGATATTCTTGCGAGTGAGCTCTGCTGCTGCTTGCAAAGCTGGGCCTTTCATTCTGATATTGGAAAGTCCCTGTAGACTCACTCATTTGGTCAGACACCTCAAAACCGCAATTAATACAACTCCGGAAAGCCCAAGCCGTTCTGAAAACGAACAAGTAAAAAAATTTAAAATGAGTCATATCCCAACTCCTTTGACCCTGGTTAGAAAGAATGCAACCAAACCACAGGTTGCTTCTACTGAAATTTTTAGACCTTAACTGTTAAACTGGCCCAGCCCTTCAGGATATCTCATTACAGTTTGGGCAGCTATAATTTGCACTGATCACAGTCTCTTTAAAGGAACACCATTTTCATAGGGTCTCCAACTGGCCCCTTCTCCTTCAGTGCTTTCAACAGGAGCCTGATATGCAGATATTAGTGTGCAAGGAAGCCTATCTCCATGCCTGGAGAAGCCTCAGCTGCTGAATTTTTTGTTAGATCATCTGCTGTCAAAGAACGGGAGCAGCCCAGAGCAAAATTCCTTGGTCAGTTGGTAACCCTGCCTTTTAACCTGAGTGGTTATGGAGAAAAATAACACAAGCATTTTCTATGTCTGTGGGGCTTTAAATCTCAGCACCCACACTTTGAATTGTGCTCGGAAACGTCCTGGGAGCCACTTCAGACCCTCCAAGTGTCCCCATTTTCCAGGGACAGCCCCAGATTTACAGAAGCTGTCCCAGTTTCTGATTTGATCCTGGAAGACTTTTCCTTAGGACATCCCTATTTTCACTGGAGAAATGTTGGAAGGTATGGAGTCATGCGACCCCTGAGCCAAGCAGATAAGTAACTATGCAGTCTTTAGAAGAAACCTGAAAGCAGCCCTGTATAGTTTTATTATGTTTTCATATATGTTGGAAGCTGCCCAGAGTGACTGGGGCAACCCAGTAAGATGGAATAAAGGTAAAGGGTAAAGGGACCCCTATTTTCATTGGAGAAATGTGGGAGGGTATGGATCTTTTAGGACCATTGTTATTTGGTCCTGGAGGACACTCCCAGTCACTGGTCTGGCAGCTCCGTTCTGGAATAGTTGTAGTTTCTAAGTTACCTTCAAAGGTAGCCCCATGTGCAAGCACATTATGAAGTGTGCAATGGGACTGCAGCCAGTGCTAGTCCTATTTGGAGTAGACCCATTGAAATCACTAGGCACAACTTATTTGGGTCCATTAGTTTCAATGGGTCTACACTGAGTAGGTCATTGGTGACAACCCTTACTTTCTGGGCAGGTGGCGGTGATAAATTGGCCCACATAGGAGTCAAGATGATGACTCTGTTTCCTTGCTTGGTGAGAGGCCCCAGAGATGGAGCTGAAATTTGCGAACACTCTCACAGTAAGACAAAGGCACAGTCCCTGCAAATCTCCCTCACAGGCAAAAGAGGAACTGGTGGTTGGCCAAAGGAGAGAACAGAAAATTGGGGCTGTCCCCAGTACATCTGGCCAATTGGTTTGCACGTGCCCATGTTAATTAGCAGGGAGGGGAAGAAAGAATTTGAACAGTTGGCCAGCAGCACACCTGGAGGGATGTGGCAGGGCGGGGATTGGGGAGAGATGCAGAGAGCAGCTTGGCGGGGGTCTAACAGATGGTTTTGTGGCTGAAATAGCAACCTGTCCCATTTCACCATAACAGACAGAAACATCTGAACAACTGAGATGAAGTCTAACCGATATTCAGAAAAGGAATTTGGATCCCACCCTCACCCTAAGTGCAGAATACTCAGCAGAAGATGCTCAGGCTTGGTCTTAGAGCCTCCAGGGAAGGGAAGTTTCAGAGTAACAGTCAGCAGTCGAAAGTTGCCAACTTTTTAAAATAACATAAGCCAGTGCCTGAGCTAGTAACAGAAGCCTACAGAAATTCTGTAGGTGAACTTTTGCCTGTCCCAGAGTTAATAGGGATGGAGCAACCTAACACCTCTGTGTCAAAGGTTCAGGAGTCGAAAACAAAACGGCAACCATTTTGATGACTTATGGATGGATGGCAGTATCAGGAGTTGGTTTATAGATGATCACAGTAGAACAGGAATCCTAAAAGTGTGCATCAGAGCTCATTAGGGTGCCATTTTGGCTTGATATCAAGTCAGTAATTGGTCAGCTCAGAAGGGTCTATAGATGGCTGTTCTAGTGGCAGTCTTTCCTTTGAATTGGCTCCCACCACATTGGTCACCCATCACCTTAATTTACCCACCAAAATGCAATGTCCTGGTCCATAGATCTGTAAAATTCATAAAGCCCAACAGACCGGTAGCGTGGGTCAATGCTATAGGTCAATGCTAAAGTGTTGCATTTTGGGTAAATTAAAATGGCGGGCAGCTTTCACAAATGGAAGCCAATTCACTGCTAAAATGCCACTTGGGGGCTGGCGGGGGGGTGGCAAGTGGTGGTGATGTTGTCACTGCAGTGTTAGAAGAAGAGATATGGACTGTCATAATCATTTGGTGGTGGGCCCTTGAAGTCTGGTGCCAGCCTTGTGTCCATGAGAAAAGAGCTCGTTCGTGTTCAGAACTACAGTATACTCATTATTAACTAAATAACAGAAATTGTTGTCCACTGCATCTCAGCAAGGTCTGCCTCATTGGCACTGCCTCTTTCCATGCAACAATTCCAAATTATCCTGACTGGATCATTTCCTCTGGGCTGCATGGACTCAGTACAACTGCCCACCTTCAGGGGAGTCTCTCACATAAGTTTTTGCTCCAAGATGACTTCCTCCCATTCATAAGCAGAATGGTCATGTCTCAGGGTCAGACCAATTAATCAGGGATCTTTGGGCATTTCTAGGGCAAGGAGTTATGCAGGGGTCCTCAAACTTTTTCAGCAGGGGGCCGGTTCACTGTCTCTCAGACCTTGTGGGGGGGCCAGACTATATTTTGAAAAAAAATATGAACTGTCACGGGGGGGGGGGAGAGTTAGAAGAAAGAGCTGGAGTCGGGAGCCTGCGTGGCCACAGTCCCTGCTGCGCTGGGGCCAAGCATCACCACCTCGTCGGCCACAACTCCCTGCTGGCCCCCTCGCTGCTCCCTCCCCCTTCCTCAGGCCTCAGCCTGGGCAGGGACAGCAGCCGCCACAGAAGACGCCCCCTCCCGGCCCGCTGGTCCAGGCTGAAGAGGAAGGCGCCCAGGCAGAGAGGAAGAGGGCTTTGGCCCGGCGGCTCCGAAGCAGCTGGGCGGCAGGCAGCAAAGGGAGAAGGGCCACCGCTGGGGGCGGGGAGGAGGTCCACCATCCGTCCGGGCGCAGAGACCCTGCCTCCTCCTCTGCCTTCCCTTGGCCGGGAAGCAGCGACTCACCCAGATCCTGTCCCCTGGGCTAGGCTCTTCGGCGCGGGGCAAGAGCAACAACCAGAGCAGCAGCAGCCCCAGGAAGGAGCCGAGCAGCAGCACCCTGGCGAGGAAGACCTGCTTCTCTTCTTGCCAGTGGGGTTGGCCCAGTGCATGCGTGTGATTCCATGGGGCAGGGCCTTCCTGGTAGCAGCCCCCCAATTACAGAATTCTCTCTCTGTGGAAATCTGCTTGTGGTCTTCAGGCATCAGCCTGAAGATATACAGGTTCAGCTGGGCTTTTGGAAGGTAAATGCCATCCTAGCAGATGTCGTGTGCACCAGCTTGTTTAAGTTTGGCTCTGCTGTCGGGAGTTTGTTTTTATTGGTTTCATCTTCTAGCCTCACTGTAGTTTAATGGTGCTGCACTCGATTGTGGGAGGAAGAGCAGTAGAGAGATAAATTTAACAGCAACAATGACGACGATGATGATAAAGAATTGCATCACTTTGGCTAGATTGTGTAACGTGTTCCACCCCACCCCACCCCCATGATTAAGAGGCATATCAATTATGTTAAATAAACTAACTAAATAAATAGATTGTGGCCCCTAACGGTGAAAAGACCCACAATTTTCCTGACTTTTTATTTACTTTAGAGCACTGGGGAAAGGGGAGGAGCTATTTCCCCTACTCACACAACCTCCCTGACCAGTACTGCCCTCTCCTACATGCTATTGAACCTGCTGGAGAAAGGCCAGGTTCCCCTACTGTAGCTGTCTCTTCCGCTGCACCCTGGAGGGTGATAAGAGCAATATCTGGAGGGCAATTTAGATCAGGGAATAAACACAGTTTCTTTAAAGTTTTAAGAAAAACGTTGCAATATAACATCCTCTAATTTCCCAAGTGACATTATAGTTTCACCTCTAAAAGTAAACATTTTCAGGCTTTATCAATTCAATGAGCTGCCTGTTTGCAGCCAGGCTTTTGTGGGGGTTATTTAAAGATGCCTTGGTGTCAGACGTTTGAGATGCTGTGCTCTAGAGATGTTGATGGGACAGTGCTGAAAATATACACTTGGTCTTTTCTCCTTCCTGGTCTCCATATAATTCTACAATACTTCTAATTTCCCACAGAGATCTCCTGACAGCGTTTTTATGACCGCTTCTTGCTTGGAAAGGACTAAAATCTTGCCCGCCTCACTTTCCTCCTCCTCTGGAATCTGAGTCCTGAACAGTCTGTTCATTTGCCCTCCAGATCTTACTCATGCTTGCAATCCAAGCGTAATGCCTGCACAGATTTCGTCCAGCCTCTGAGCTGCATTTGGTGATGTAAGCTGATATTTTAATTCTCTTACAAGGAATGGTGTTTAGAGGAATGACTTAAGTGGATTACTCATCTTCTGTAATAACTTGGCAGCACTCCCGTTTCTATTCCTAGACATGACGCTCGAGGCTTTGATTCCTCTCCCGCCTCTTTGGGTTGTTGCTTTTTTGTTTTTTTAATCCGAGAAATTTACGCTCCTGTGTTTTTCAAAGCCTCAACCCTCCCTGTGATGTGGCATTGCATTCTGGGAGGCGTAGTTCTGTTTGCATTCAAGGCAGAGATTCCTGAAGCAGAAAAGCCAAAGGGCAGAAAAAGCTGGTGGTCAAAAGCGATGCAGAAACTGGTATGGCAGGACAGAGCCGTCCCTGCTGATAAGATAGCAGAGTGTTTCTAAGAAGTGGACTTCCTATTTCTTTACAACGGAAGCCAAATGCTCACTAAGCCTTGGGCACTTTTCTTGTCCAAAGGTGATTCAGAAAGGTGATTCTTGGGAAGGAAGAAAGTTACCCAAGGAGGCACACATTTTGCACATAGATGGTCCTGGGCAACTGTTCTGCAAAAGGAGCAAGACACAACTTTATTCCTTGCATATATATATAAAATCAGGTTCCTTTCAGTCCAATGTTAGTGTATTTGCGGCATTGCAGTGACAAACACCAGAAGATCAGCATGGGATGTCTCTGCAGAGAGTGTTAACCTTTCCACTACGATTTAGTTGTTTATTGTTAGCTGCATTGGTGCACCCTCTGCTCGTTCTCAGCTCTGGTGGGGCTTAGAGGATGGGCACTGATTCTCTTCTCTCTGCACCATCAGGAATGCTGGCTAGAGAAGAGGACTCTTCTTTGGCGATCACTCGTAGCTGAGCAAGATTGTCTTTCATGAACTTGGTCTTAACAGTGAGTCTGTAAGTTACAGTGGACTACAGGTCCGTCAAGGGAAGACACCATCATGGCAGCAGTGACTGAATTACAAGGGGCTACCCCCAAAGCATAATATGTCCCCCTCCACGTTTGACGGTGGAGATGGTGTTCTTGGGGTCGTAGGCAGCATTCCTCCTCCTCCAAACGCCACGAGTTGAGTTGATGCCAAAGAGCCCAATTTTGGTCTCACAACACTTTCACCCAGTTCTCCTCTGGGTCATTCAGATGCGCATTGGCAAACTGCAGACGGGCCTGTACATGTGCTGTCTTCAGCAAGGGGATCTTGCGGGCTCTGCAAGATCTCAGTCCTTCACGGCGTAGTGTGTTACCAACTGTTTTCATGGTGACTATGGTCCCAGCTGCCCTGAGATCACTGACAAGTTCCCCCCATGTAGTTCTGGGCTGCTTCATCACCATTCTCCTGATCAATGCAACTCCACAAGATGAGATCTTGCATGGAGCCCCAGACTGAGGGAGGTTAACAGTTATTTTGTGTTTCTTCCATTTGTAATACAAGGGGGAAAGGTGGGCCTTAATGGGAACAAGACAAAGCCAAAATTATGTGACTATTTAGCTCAGTAAGAATTGCCTGCACAATTATTGGTAGCAGCTCTGCAGTGTTTGAAATTATGTCTTTCCAGCTCTATTTGGAGCTGCCAGGGATTGAACCTGGACCTTTCGCATGCAAAGTGGATGTTTCAGCCCTAAGGTCTCTCTCTTTCTCCCCCCGCTTGCAATTTGTTTAAATATATGTATATTCCACCCTTCCTTCAAGGAGTTCAAGGTGGTGCACATGGTTCTTCCCATCCCCATTTTATCCTCACCACAACCCTGTGAAGTAGGCTAGGCTGGGAGACTGTGACTGGCCCAAGGTCGCCCAGTAAGTCTTATTCCAATCACTACACCATACTGTCCCAGCCAGATGGGAAACCCACCCAGATGGGCATGGCATAAATAATAAAATTATTATTATATTATTCCTCCATGCTTGTTGCCAACCTTCTGTATGGCAGTGGAAAGGTAGCAAGTGGTGCTGTCAACTGGTTAAAGAATGTTTAGGTGATCAGCTGTCTGCTGCTTGCTATTCACTATCTGTGAATTACATATTTCCATATTACTAAAACCTCACAATACGTGCCTTTTTGAGGCTGAAGAAAACATGTGATTGTTGTTTGTGTGTGCTTCCCGACATGCAAATAATCTCTCTGTACAACAAATCTATGAATTGGCTCAGCTGAAAATTTATTTTGTTTTGAAAGAGATGCGAAAGTTCTCTCTGAGTTTATGTCATGACACGGAGTGGCAACCAGGAACTGGTGATCTTAGCCAACCACTAAATCTTTCCTTGCCAGCCACATACCCTAATCAGCTGCCACAACCATTGCCAACCTGGTGCTCTCCAGATGGACTATGGCTCCCATCAGCCCCAGCTGCCATGGCTGTTGGAGTTGTAGACCAAAACATATGGAGGGCATCATGGTGATAAAAGACTAAGCTCAGCACATATATCTGATTGATCTGGCTGCATTCTTGCACAAAAACGTAAATTGATCTCCCTTCTTTCTCAAGCAAGCTGGTTCTGCTAGTGATTTTAAAAGTTCATCGTTGTAAAGTCCAGTTGCATTTATTATTCTTTGCCAATTGTTTGAATGGATTCTAATATTGTACCTTTATTCATTGCTGTAACCCACCTTGAGAGCATATAGTGAAGGATGGGCAGGGAACCAAATCTGTAATAATAATATTAATAAGAATCTTTATTTGATCGCTGATTAAATGCCCCAAGTCTCCCATGATCTGAGCCAGCCCTGGACTTCTGGAGGCAAGGATGCCAATGTCAGAGGGGCCTGCCTTTAAAACAGGGTGTGTGGGGCAAACCCTGGTCCTTGTCAGAGGTTGCTGGACCACCCTCATCCCTGACTGATGGCCGTGCTAATTGGGTGGCTGATGGGAGCTGGGGGCCAAGGACCTCTGGAGGGCCACACCCTGGCTTAGCCCTCCCCAAAGGCTCTGTGAGGGATTCTTCTGCCATCTCCATTGTGGCTGTTCTTGACCTGGGTCCTCCGTACAGGGCAGCACCCCTAAGCAGCCACCCCCAGCCAGATGCCCTCCAGATGATTTGGACAGCTCCCAGCAGTCCCAAGATGTCAGCTGAAACACCTGGATCCTGTGGAAGATCGTTGCTTTCACCACAGCAAACAAGGATGGAGTGAAGAAGACCTTTTTTTATTAATGGTGCAGAAGTTTCCTTCTCTCCGAACCACACTTCCCAGAATCCACTCGGACCGAGCAGGCGGGTCCCTTCGGCCTGAGTGACGGCCCTTCTCCCTAATCGCCTGCGGCGGGTGCTCGGCGCCGCCCTATCAGCGCGCAGGACGAGGCGCCCGGCGAGCCGCGCTCCGCGGAGAGAAAGCGCTGCTGGCTCAGTTGCGGTGCGGACGGAGCATCACATGGGAGCTGCGGCGGCGGCGGAGCCGGGCAGGATCGGCGCTCCGGGCGATGGGTGAGCGGGCGGGCGAGCGGGGCGGGCGCTTCGGGGCGCGCTGAGGACTAGCAACTTGCGCGGAGGCGCGAGGGATGGGGGGCCAGAGGGGAGGGTCGGCTTGGACCCCCTGCGCTGATTTAAAGTCTTGTTGGCGTTTAGGAACCTCTGCTGGAGGGGAGACTTCCGATCGGGGGGGGTGGTGGAAAACTTTGGGTGTTTATCGTGGGGAGGACACGCGTTTTCCCTCCTCGGAGATCCATTATAACAGTTAGTTGTTTCCGGAGAGTTGTTTCTAGCGAGTGTAGGTTGCAATAAAACGAAGCCGCTTCCTTTCTTTGGCCCGCTTGGGAGAATTCTCCCGAATCCCGTTTATCCGCGAAGACCCGACTTACCCCGTCGCCTTCCCTGGGGGGGGGGGGGGGAGCGAGGAAGGGGCTTGTCTTCTTCTTCGGGATGCCTTGTTTTCGGTTGTGTCCGCTTTGGGGCGGGGGGGTCCTAAGCGATGCGCGGCTGTTGTTGTTTTTCTGCTCGGGGAACCACCGGACCGGGCTCTAGGCAAATCCTCTTTCCCGTTTTGCGCGGCTCAGCAGATAATAATTGGCGGCGATTAAGTTGCAAAAGTCCCTGAGTTTGCATTTCTGAGCAGGTGGAGGAAAGAACAGAGGGCGGGTTGCGGGAGGCGGGGGGGGGGAGCGGTCTGCCAAGCCAGCCAGTTTGCTTGTTGGAAATCGTCTTAGTTTGCTGCTAAAACAAAACAAGCTCCCCCCGCTTGGTATTCGGAACATGGGGCATGCCAACTCCGTCCACGTGACTGGATCCTTAAAAAAATAAACCCAGCATAAACTTTGTCTGAAGTTTTCTTGTGTGTTTTCCCAGTACTTATAAGGAGATTTCCACCTACCGCCCCCCCCCGCGGATTTTTAAAAGTCCTTCCTGGACTTTCTGGTAATTTTGATTTCAGTTCTCTTCTCTCCCCCCCCCTCCAATTTAGTCAATTTCAGCACTGCCTTCTCATATTTGGTCATTCCTTTTCCTGTTGTGGTTTTTAATCTCTTGCTCTTCTCAGCTAATTTATTGTGTCAGCTGTGAGCAAAAGCCCCCCCCCCGCATTCCCCGAAGAGGCCTCCCCCTCCCACCACACTCCCGCCCTGCCAATCTCAGCCCCTAAAGAGTTAAAAGAATATGTGCTATATTGAATGAAGTGTGTGCACGCAGCCCTGGGTGTATTGTGCTCTGTGTCATTTCCTGAAAGTGGCTTGATCTACATTCTTTGAAGATGCTAACGGCTTTCGGCCGCTGCTTCCGCATCAGCCCAGAAATGTTTTTCTAGGTTGTTGACCTTTCTCATTTTCCCAAGAACATTTTTTTTCACTGAATGAATAGCGCATCTGCTTGTGGAAGGACTGAGCCGGCAGTCTCCTTTCTTTCATCGGCTGCTTGGCATACCTAGGAGTGGAAGAAATTGTTGACCCTGTGAGAAAGAGGGATACAAATCGCTGCAAAATAAAACCGCATCCTGGCATCATTGGCAAAGCAGGAGCTGAGCAGGAGCCAGGGAATTTGAAATGCCAGCGGCGCCTCCGCTCTTCCAGTTCAGAAGGGTGTTGCAGTCGTGGAGTGGGGGGTCCTTTAAGAAATCACCCTCGTTCACACACACGCTCCGCTTCCTTTAGGCTAGATGCTGTTGAACTTTTCACTCCCATCACTCCCAGCCGGCTTGTCCAATGGTCAGAGGCAACTGGAAGTGTGGGGTCTGGCAAAACATCTGGAAGGCCAGCGGTTCCCCATCCCCATTTTCAAGTGTCACATCCATCCATTCCAAATCCTGCACTGAGAATAACTGAATTCTGCAGCCTGTATAAAATCCCACAAGCGGAGTGCTTTGGCGGATCTTCTCTCTTACTTTTGCATAATTTTATTCTAGCGTATTTTGCTTTTTGTTTCTCATTGGCATAATCTGTTCTTCCTGGGCGAGACAAATGCTCTGAAGTCCCGCCTCCTACCACTGACAGGTCGGAAGCAGTGGTCCGCATGCTTTCAAGGATATTTCTGCACCTCGAGAGCTGGGGGGGGGGGGCACTTTTATTTATTTTTTTTAAAAGGGAGTGTGCTGCTGGTTTCTGGACCCACTTCCACTTTCTTTGGTTTTTCTGTGCTCCTGTGGAACCACGTCTCTCTCCTGGCGCTGGGCATATTATGGGCCACACAGGTGTGGACGCTTGGGGCCAACCTACATGTTATGCAGGAGACCCACAACTGGCTCTCCAGATGTTCTCTGATCTTACACATGCTATATAAGGAACAGCCCACACATAGAATGAGGTCATTTGTTGGTGATGCTGAGAGCTCAATGTGCTTCGCGGGAAATTCCCTCTGGAGATGGAGTGGCCTGCTGGTCTTCTGCCTTCTCAGGCCGCATGTCACGATGCCGTTGAGATGAAATGCAGGCTGACAGTCTCGTTGCTTCACTTCCTTACGAGCGAAACAGTGATTAATGCTGCTTTCTTAAAAGCTATAGGTGGGAGGCCAGATAAGATTGTGAAAGGGGCGTTGTTCGTGGTAGAGATGCGGAAGTCCCAGGTTCAGTCCCCAAAAGCATCTCCAGGTAGGGCTGGGGGAAAAGGCCCTTGCTGTGCCTGACACCCTGGAGAGCAGCTGCTGGTCAGTGTGGACAATACTGGGCTAGATGGACCAGTTAGCCAATTCAGTCCAAGTCAGCTGCATGTGTTTCCAGGGTGGGACAGGGGTCTATATTCTGGAGCAGGGCTGAGGAACCCATGGCCTTCCACACATTTCTGGGCTCCCAACGCTCATCAGCCCCAGTTAGCCTGGTCACTGGTGAACTGGAGTTGAACAAAATATCTCAAGGGTTGTCACATGGAAGATGGAGCAAGCTTGTTTCCTTCTGCTTTGGAGGGTAGGACTTGAATCAATGGCTTCAAATTACAAGAAAGGAGATTCCGACTAAACATCAGGAAGAACTTTCTGACAGTGGAACGGTCTCCCTCGGAAGATGGTAGTCTCTCCACCATTGGAGGTTTTAAGCGGAGGTTGGATGGCCATCGGTCATGGATTCCTGCATTGCCAGGGGTTGGACTAGATGATCCTCAGAGTCCCTTCCAACTCTACAATTCTGTGATTCTGTGGAGGGCTACAGATTCCCACCCCTGCTCTACAGAATGGCTTAGGCAGAGACCACCCCTCCTTCCTGCCCCTCCAACTCTGAGAACAACAAACACAATGAGCTCATAGCCTTTAAGCTGTGCCTGATTTCTATGATTCACCCTGAAGTTTTGAAACTGATCTGTGGTTCTTCTCTTTAACTGTATTTTTTTTAAAACTTACTGGCACTGACAATCTTATTTCCCCATTTCATTCCCTGATGTTTTGTCATTGTGTTTGAGGTTTTTATTGCTGGGTTGTTGTTTTTTTAAGTTGCTTTCTCTGGAAAGAGGCTTCAAATAGCAGCCCTGAAATGGTTGTTCAGAGATCTCTCCTTGGGCAACTGCCTTTATAAGATTTGCCATGGCTGGATCAGGCCAAAGGTCCATTGAACCCATCATTCTGTTTCTTACTCAGCCAACCTGATGCCTCTGGGAGGCCCATCAGCAGGGCCTCAATGTTGTTGGTCCCTGGCATCTGGCAGCCAAAGGTAGAGTAGCCCTGAAGATGGAGGTTCCATTAGTCTTTGTCATTATGAGCCATTGAATTGGTCACCATGGGTTGTATCCAGCTAAGTTCTACTCAGAGTATGCCTATTGAAAAGAACAAACCCAAGTTAGATATGTCTGTCAACTTCAGTGGGTCTACTCTGAGTAGGACTAGCATTGGTTACAACCCTAAGTGTATTCCACTTTTTATACAAGTCTTGAGACTTGTGGCAGAGAGTTCCATAAATTAACCTGCCATTGTTCGACGAAGTAATTAATTCCCCTTCAGTCTTTCTGGAAGGGAGGACACCATCCTGACCCCCCCATGACATTATTTTACTTCCTTATTCTGTTTCCTCATCTCTGAAATGGGTTTGAGGCTACTACCCCACTTGGGGCCTACACTGGGATGGGGCACATCACTCCAAAAGCCTTAAATCTGCCCCAGATGGAAGGACAAATAATTGGGTTGAGGTCAGCACATTCCTCTCGCTCTCTTTGTCTCTCTCTCTGCTGAGGTTACAGACTGTGGAGCTGGTGTGCGCCCCTCTCCCACCCATGCGTCAATTCCACAACTGTGGATGGAAAACAATTGCTTTTATTTAAGCCACACAGAGTCCCGCAAGCAGCTGTTTTGTATGGTGGGGGTCAGGAGGGAATTAAAAAAAACAGGTGTTTTTAGGACTGTCAAAGGAAACTGAAATGCAGAGCTGTGGCTTCAGCTTGAAAACCATTTTAGGTGGGGGGAGTTGGGCAGAAAGACCAGTTCCCTCTACTTCTCTTCCAGTTCACACGAGGGGTGGCTTTCTGCAGGCAAAGGCTTTGCTATTCCCACTTGCACGGACGTTGCTCTCTTGGGTTTGCAAGAGCTTGGAGTGGCCAGTCTCATGAACAGGTGGCAATGGTGGGGGCAGAAGCAGCCAAGTCACCTCTTGCCCCCCCCCCCAAACCCTCAAATGGTGGAAGGGGGTTCAGGTGACTTTTCTAGATAAATCATTTTGGAGGTAGCGGGTGGAAGAAAATCAGCTGTTTTGGCTTTCGTTCCCAATACCAAACAAGCATCGTTAGATAGCAACCCCCCCAACCCCCCCTCCAAACCAGACTATTTTTTCTGAAGTGAATGAAGGGCATTTGTCTGGAGGGGGGGGGTGCAGAGGAGAGAAATGGGACTGTCCTGTGTTGTTTCCTCCAGCCTGTCTAAGCCTTCAACTCTGCTTCCAATTTAACTTGTTTGGGTTTCATGGGTACTTTACTCCCCCTGCCCCCCCCAAAAAAACCCACCCACATTTTTCATAAAAGATGTTCACCCTGGCACTGAGTTGGGGGGGTTTACCAGTGTCACCTCCCCATGCCTCCTTTAATTCCTTGTGAAGGCTTAATGGGGGGGCTAAGCTGGTTTCTCCCTCCCCACCCTTTCCTTTTTTTTCTTTCGTTTGTTTCCCAAAGTTGTCATCATGTCCAGTAATCCTCTCAGAAGCTGGACTTGTTTTGGCTGCCGTGGGCTATGATCTCATTTCCAGAGAACATTAAACTGGAAGGCTTCCCCCTCCTTTTTATAATTCTCTTCTTCTTTCTCTGCCCCCCCCCCCCCTGCCTCATTGTACAGTATGTGAGTGTTTGGGGTGAGCTCACTGACTCCTGCAGGGGGTCTGAGAGGGAAGGAAACATACAAACTCTTTTAGCAAACATGAGCTGGAAATGGATGAGGGGGCAGAGGACTGGAAAGGGCTCTGTTTTCCTCCAGAGCCAGAGCCAGCAGCCTGCCTCTTCCTCTGCTCCCGGGTTTGGAGTTTTTGTGTGCCCAAAGTACTTTTTGTTGATTTTTTAGACAGCTATTGCAGTGTCATGTGCTAGGAGCCCAGTCACTGAAGTGGATTAAAGTTTTCCAAAACGGAGAAGGTTTTTACATAGATGACCACAGGTCAACAGAGGCAAAGGAGAAAGGGCTTACAGCAAGTGTGGAGACAACATACATAAAAATAAAACATGGAATAGGAATGAATAAAAAAAGGTTACATTTTCCAAATAAATAGAGAGCAAATAATGTAGAAAAATAAAATAACAAAACACGTCACAAAAGCCAAATCTCACAATTTGGTGTGGGGTGAGAGCTTTGCGTATTTGAATTTGGCACATTTGGAGTGATTAAAGCCTTCTGCGCCCCATTGCTAGTCTCCCCCTTGCCCCCCCCCCATTGACATGTGGTGGTGAATAGTGTGCAGTTGGCTTGCAGGGAAGGGTGAAATGTTTGGGAAAGGGACAAAAGTGGCCAGAAATATGGGGGGGGGGTGTGAGGTGGGTAAAACATTTGCCACCCCCAGCCTCTTCCCACCCCCACCCCGTCTGCTTTGCCTCTTTTTAGAAATGGGCCTTTTCTCCACCGGGGAGGATTGTAAATTTGTGGGCGCACCACCTCGCTTATGTGCCCACTGTGTGCAACGCCCTCCCATCAGATGTCAAGCAGGTAAAGAACTCTATGACTTTTAGAAGAGATGTGAAGGCAGGGAAGTTTCTAATGGTTATCTTACTGTATTTTTATTATTTTATTGGGAGCCACCCGGAGTGGCTGGGACAACTCAGATGGGTGGCATATAAGTATCATCATCATCATCACCATCATCTCTGTGAGTTACCGTTCCTGATGACTGTATGCAAGTAGTATTTTCTAGGCCCTTCCAATAAGTAAGAGCATCTCTTGGTTTATCTTCTGCACTTTGTCAGCTTCTTCCCTGCTCTCCTTCCTACGTCACAACCTTCCACAAAAAGCCCTGATGCAGCTCTTCCAAATGATGATGTGTGCCACTATCAGCTGGAAGTAGCTTGTTCCTGGGAAGGCACAATAACCGCCATTCTCCCGGGATGCTCTCTGAAAGAAACACCAATTTGGTTTTCTTGGACAGGATTCAAGTAAAGTTAAGGCTGGCCAAGGATGCAGAAGACTTCCCAAAATATTGTCAAGTGCTGCTTTGTTCTGGCTAGTGAGAGAGGATGATGGACATGTTTTGAGTGTCCAGAGTCCCTCAGAAATATTACCGCAGTAAATCTTCCAATAAGTCTGTCAGAATTGCCACTGTATTGCAGATGGAAAGCTCAGGATCACGGACTGTGGGTCGCCTCAGGCCACAGAGAGAGTGTGGATCTGGTGAGATCTGAACCAGATTCTGTCCTCTGTGAATTTTATGTACCGAATGTTCTCCAGCTACTCCCTGTATGTTTAATATTCACTGAGTATTCAGTAGTTGTTTTGACATGTGGCAATATTTTGATTTCACTGTTTCTTGCTTGGCATTTGGCAGTATTTCATAGCAGACAAGAAACGGTGGTTTTGAGTGTTGGCAGGAGGTAATATTTGACTGATAACGTTCAGTGGGATTTAGCAGTTGACAGTTGACGCTTGCCAGAAACCAGACAAGATACTGAAAGGCCTGAAAACACTTGAATTTTGAGGTAAAATTTCTCTCTGTTTCTGAATTTCATGTTAAATGGTGAAATTGAAGACTTGGGTGAATTCTTGAGAACATTCTGTTGACTTTGTGGTGATAATCCTTTGGTGAATGGATGAGGGAAGGACCGTAACTCAGTGCGTAGAGCATCATCTGCTTTGCATGCAGAAGGTCCCAGGTTCAGTCTCCAGCATCTCCCAGGCGGGGCAGGGAGTGAGTTCCACTGTCTGAAACCTGGAGAGCCACTGCCAGTCATAGTAGACAATGTGGAGCTTGAGGGATTGTTGGTCTTACTCTGTATGAGGTGCCTTCCTAAAAATTCTTTCTTAACTAGTATTTTTGAATCGTCACTTTTAATTATGTAGTTTTTGATAGTTCTTTAGTTATGTAAATTTTTGCAAGTTTTTTCTCCTGTAAACGCTTTGGTGTAAATTGAGTCATAAAAGGTTCAAATATTTGTGGACACTCATTTTACCCTTGCTCCATTTTAATCATTTTGGCAGGAGAGGCACAGATTAACATAAAATGGTTATGCAGCCGAAAAGGTGGTATTCCCTGACTTGGATGAAAGCTTCAAAAGTGAGGCTTTTTCACTTTCCCAAGTATCAGGAGAGTTGTTTTGCTGCCTGCAGCCCATCTTGGCTTCACCCTCCCTCAGCTGCACTGTCAGGCGGAAATGATGGGTGTATTCAGCAAACCCCTGACTGCGCAAGAGGCTCCCTGCGTCTCCACATGCAAAAAGGAGGTGATTTTTGCATTGAGAGTGGACTTTGGAGGGCTTGCTTGTGGCAGTTGGTTGACGAGCGTCTAGGAGGGAAGGATGTGGCTGGTGGGGGCAAGGCTCACACCATTCCGGAAACCACCTTGAAAGCGAAAGTGGAAACTCTGTAGTCTTGCCCGTCTGCCGTATTCGCACTTGCTCTTGTGTGCAATTGCACCTCCAAGCAGGAAACCATTGAGTTGCATGCGTCAAAGGAGACATCTCTTCTAAGAAAACCGCTCCAGTGGAGTCTCAGCTGGGGCCCCACCTTAGAGCCAAGCATTGCTGTCTCCTGCCCAGAATTTCTTGTCGGAGGCAGACCATGGAGGAGACATAGATTCTGGGTGCTGTTGAGGCAGAGCAGCAGGAGATGGAGACAGCTAATCCATGGGCCACGTGGGGCCTGCAGGCAGAGGTTGAGATTTAGACCACATTTGTACCACACATTTTAAGCAGTACAATACCACTTTAAATAGTCATGGTTTTCCCCAAGGGATTATGAGAGCTGCAGTTTGTTAAGGGCGATGAGGGTTTCCCCTCACAGAGTAATAGTTCTCAAAGTGGCTTCATCCCTCTTTCCTGGAGACTCCGGGAATTGTACCTCTGTGAGGAAAATAGGGGCCTCCTAGCAACTCTCAGCCCTTAGCAAATGGCACTTTCCAGGATGCTTCTGAGGAAGCCATGGTGGTGTAAATTGGTAGCATAGCACTTAAATGTATGGAGTGAATGTGGCCTTGTGGTGGTGGAGGAGAAAAGGCAGCAGGTGGCCAAATGCTGACTGGAGGTTGCTCCTCAACGTTTTGGGCAGTGCTGTTTCACGTCTGCTTTCAAAACACTTTGTCACGTTGTGTGTTGTTCAGTTTCATTTCTGCTGACTGATCCCTTTTCCTTAACTGGAGATTCCAGAATCAAATCTGATTTTGCCTTCGTACGAAGCACCTCTGAACTGAGGAGCAGGTGGTGGTGGGCAGTAGGCCTATGGCTAAAAGACCCCTGCCCCATCTGCTGGCAGCCTCTCCTCTGCCTCAAATGTCTTCAGGGGGTGTTTCCTCCTTGGTCTTCCTGAGGTGGGTTTGGATATTGCTGGGATTTAGGGTAGGGGTCCCTGTCACTCAAGGTCTCTTGATTTGAGGGGAATGGGACTTGGATCTTGGTTCTTAATGGCTTCTCAACTCTTCTCCCTTGATGCAGCACCCAGCCTTAAAGGCAAGCGGAAAAAGAAGACCATTCCCATGGCTGAGAGCGAATCCCAGAATGCTCTGGTGCTGTCCCTGGCAGAAGAGACCGCAGTGGGAAGCCCTGGCGCTGAAGAGCCTCAAAACGCGCCAGAGAAGCTGGAAGAAGTGGTGAGTGAAAATTGTAATAATAATTGCATCACAAAAGCCAAGAATTGAATCCTAACACATCTGTGATGATATTCTTTCAAAACCTTTAGATCCTGGCCTTTGCAAATCACAGCTTGACCAACCTTTTGCCAACCTGTAGCCCTCTAGAGCAGTGGTTCTCAACCTGTGGGTCCCCAGATGTTGTTGAACTAGCAAGGCCAGAGCTCAGGGATGATGGGAGTTGTAGTCCAACAATATCTGGGGACCCACAGGTTGAGAACCACTGCTCTAGAGTCGCAGGGGCTGGGGCTGATGGGAGTGGTAGTCCAAAACATCTGGAAGGCAACTTGCTGGCATTGGCATAACTCTAGATTTGGATGTGTTTGTTTAATCAATGGGTGCCATGAATGGCCATGATACTCTAAACATACAGCAGCCTGCAATCTAAATTTTCAACAGCAGACATGACAGAGACATGACAAGTTCTGGTGTAGCTGGTGAACAACATATTTATCCCATTCTTCCTCTAAGAATCTCTGGGCAGAGTCTTATTTTATCCTTGCTTGAATCCTGGGAGAAAGATTAGTGATTGGCCCAGCGTCACCCAATGAGCTTAGTGGTTGGTTGGGGCTTTGAACTTGCCTCTTCCTGGTCTAGACTGAACACTCTTAGGCAGCACTCATGGAAGGATGAGCCGCAGCAAACCTTATGCTCACACACCTCTGGCTTGGCTGTAAGTGGGAGGTAGAAAGCCTCTGCTTCCATTCTAGATTAATCATTGTTTAGTGTTCCAGCCAAACCATAAACTCTAACCTATGGTTTGTTGAAACAAGCTGGTTTCATAACCTACCATTTGAAGTTGGCTTGTTTCAACAAATCATAGGTTGGATTAACCACAGTTTGTGCAGTGTTGGATATTACAACAAACTGCAGGAAGGCATAGAAGACTTGTTTAGGCTTATCTTCATAGTACTAGATGCAGCTTAACTCTGTCACACTTGCTCTAAGTTTCAGGTATTTAGGCTTCATTTTGTTTTGGGACAAGGACCAAAATAGTAAGCAAAGGCTCTGTGGGCTTTGAAAGCATTGAGTGAGGAGGCACAATATAGAGGCTGGATTTTGACATATTGTGGAACCATGGTTTGGGCTACCCATACTTTGATCTCCCAGAAGTACAAGCATACAGTAGGATAGACCTGCTTGTCTGTTTCTTTTTTCCCATGTGTTCTGCACACACATCTTGAACTGGAGCAGTGGCCCAGAATGTGGTTTGTCAGTGGTCTGTAAATTCAGACATAGCAGCGAACCCCAGTTAGCTGAATCTGGTTTGAAAATCAGGTTCAAACTGCTTTCAGGTGCTAGTTTGTCAGTCCTAAACAAGCAACTGTTTGTGGGCAGGCTCAGGTTCAAACATCAGAGCAAACCATTCTATCACCCCGAGGCTTATTCTGTAAATGGAATAAAAGGTAAAGGTAAAGGACCCCTGGACGGTTAAGTCCAGTCAAAGGTGACTATGGGGTTGTGGTGCACATCTCGCTTTCAGGCCAAGGGAGCCAATGTTTGTCTAACAGACAGCTTTCCGGACATATGGCCAGCATGACTAAACCGCTTCTGGTGCAACAGAACACCGTGACAGAAACCAGAGCGCACGGAAACACGGTTTACCTTTCTGCCACAGCAGTACCTATTTATCTACTTGCACTGGCATGCTTTCGAACTGCTAGATTGGCAGGAGCTGGGACAGAGCAATGGGAGCTCACTCTGTTGTGGGGATTTAAACTGCTGACCTTCCGATCGGCAAGCCCAAGAGGCTCAGTGGTTTAGAGTAGACCACAACGCCAGCCGCGTCCCTAGGCTTTAAATGGAATGGGGTGTACCTGTGGTACTTGCAATTTAGTGGCAATAAAGGTGGAATTGGAGCAAAGAAAAAAGAAAAGGACTTTCCAAAATTCCCAACTTGCATATGCCAGCTTAAATCTGAGATATTTCTTAGAATCTTGTCTATATTTTGTTTCAGCTTTGAATAAGATAGAGAACAAAATCTTTCCTTCTTGGGGATCTTCAGGTTTGTCCCCTCGTATAGACAAACCTGCGTATAGACAAATTGCTTATCACTTAAAAATGGAAAAGTTTTGTTACAAGGGGTGCAAAATGAAAGGTTCTGTAGAATCATATAAAAATGACAGGTATTAGGACCCAGGAGCTCTGATGAAAAATCTGCACCTCAAGACAATCCTTCCAAGCATGACTGGAATTTGGATTCTTGGAGTGCCTGGTGCCGACTTGCCAATGATGCCTTTTCCATTTCTGCCCCTACAATTCTCATGTCACGTCTTTGACAGAAACTCAGAAAGGCTGCTGGGGTGTGTGTGTGTGTGTGTGTGTGTGTATAGATATAAAAATGATGGCAGCCCCACTAGTGCCATCTACCTGGAGTCAGGCTGTGACCCTGCAGAACACAGACCTGAATTGGCAAAAAGTTACGATTGGCCCAGAAATGCTGGCTTCCTTCAAATCAAAATGGGAAAATGGGGAGCCAGCCTTGGGGATGCATGCACCTCCCCTTTCCCCTGCCCCCCTCCCATTTCTTCCCATGTTTGCATTGACCACAGTTTTGCAATAGATCTGCAAACTGTAGTTGATTCCCACCAGAGCTGCTGTCTTGACCAGGGTTTGTAAAGCTCAGGTAAGATAGGAATCCTGATTAGCATCACCCACAGTTAGCATTGGTGCAGATTTATCGGTGAACTGTAGTTTAGGCTTGAAAGGGGAGGGAGAGCAAAGCATATGTTGAAGCCAACTCCCAGTTAGTTATTCCACACCCCCCCAGCAAACTGTCAGCTTCATTTTGGAAGTGCTTCTCTGATTCCTTGTCCTGGGTCTGTCTACTGAACTCTCTTTTGATTTTTTTGACCTGTTTATGGAGTGACTTGGAAGTTGAATTGAGTTGATAGAGAGCTGGTTTAGAGGATCATATCTTGGCTTAAAACCCTGCAATCGTACTATAGGCTGCTGACTCACTGAGTTGGTTTGGGTTACCATTCCTTTGGTTTCACAAGCCAAGGAATGAACACACATTTTGCCCTTCATGCAAGTTGTGTTTAAAGCAGGAAATATTTTATTGACCATAGTTTACTGTTTCATAGAAACAAGGAAACGATGGGTTGCCAGCTTGGGAACAAGACCAGGATCTTAAACCAGGTAGCCCTTAGTTTCCTAGTTTGGATGAAATAGGAAACTGTAGTTCATTAGCGATTTCCTGGTTAAAATTATGGCTTGTGCAAAGGGTGGGAGGCAGCAACTGCATGCTAATATCTTGGCTTGTCAACCCAAAATATAATAGTTCAAAGCAACTTGGAGTCTGCAACCCCTAGTAAGTTTGGGGGTTCATCCACCTCTCTCTCTTCACCACCCCCACTCTCCACCGTGGCACATAGACTCTTCAGTGTTGGCAGTTGAGAAGCTCACTTTTGTCTAGGTTTGTGGGCAGGGTTTAAACAAGAAATGGAGGAGAATATCAAAATTTCGAAACCAGAGGGTTTAGCGTCAAAAGAGAGAAACTGAAAATGCAAGTGTTGTGTATGTTGGGGAGAAGAAACCTGTGTGAACTTCTGAAATGAGCTCTCTGTTGCTATGAAGTAGTTGGGTGGTGGTGGGGTATCCTTTTCTTCCCCTTCAATCTCTGAAAATAATTTTTACACGAAATACATTGTGCAGAATTTGGACCACTTTGGAATGGGGCAGATGAGGGCTGACCTTTTATAGCTCAGCACTCCTAGAAAGGCATTGCAGAATATGGGTCCATCTGTCTCATCACACTTGCATATTGCCTTCCATTCATGCATGTGACTCTCCTGCTTTATCCTCACAACAATCCTGTGAGGGAGGTTAGGTTGTGTGTGTGTGTGTGTGCGTGTGTGTGTGTGTGTGAGAGAGAGAGAGAGAGAGAGACACTTAGGGCTACCCAATGAATTTCATCAATGAGTAGTTTCGCCCTCTACATGACCTGGAGTGCAATTGATTAGCATGGTGCACAATGCCAGGTAAAGTAAGGCTGGAGACGGACAATAATTTTACAAGAGTGTAAAGTAAGCATGGTTCAGGGATATTTGCCACACACAAACACAAACACGTTTCTTTTGTCCTGCCACAATCGCCAGTCCAACAGGTTTTGGAAACTATATGAATGCCCGCAACACCTGTTTGACTGGATATGATGGTGGAATGAATGCGCACACTGTAGGGAAAAGCACGCTTGTATCATGTTACCTGCAATATTGGGGGGGGGGGGGGAGTGGTCCGTGCAAAGATACAGTGTTCTGTCTTCAGCTTGAATGCCGGCAACCCTTCCTAAATTTCACAATCTCTGCAGACTTGTAGACTCTAAATTTCCTTCAGGCAGGACCTAGGTAGTCCTGCAGCCACCGCTTGGGGGAGAGAGCATTTTGCAAACACCGTCAGCTTGGCTCTCCATCCAGTTCAAAATTAGATTCATTTGAAAAAAGAAGCAGCCCCATAAATAGCCCCACAGCTAAAATAACATGTCTATCGTGAGCGGGGAAAAGAATAGAAAGGAGAAGACGTGTTGAGTGCTGAGCAGCTGCCTTGACCAAAAATAGCAACAAGTTTTATAACTCTGGAAAATTTAGAACAAAAAACCAAGAAAACAAAACGCAAGAAACGTTTTTTGAGCTGAGGGCGGGAGGGTGTGTGAGAGTGAGAATTTGTGCCGTTCTGTTTTCCTGGAAACAGTCCCTTGTGTTCTCACACATCCCAGCACTCTGACCAAGTTGGCAGCCTGCCCGATCCCAGGCATATAATACACTCGACATCTCTCTCTCTCTCTAAGCTGAACAAGCTGGTGACTCTTCGGAGCTAATAAATTGCCTCCGACCACAAAAACAGCTCTTGATGGGATTGAACAGCCGCGCTTTGTGTGCGGAAAGTGGGGCGGGGGAAATGAGACTGATCCAATCTGTGTAAGCATTCTGGCATTTCCATGGCACACGCCGTAGCTCTGCCTTGCAAGCAGAAGGTTTGTTTAAAGAAAAATTCTGTGGCTATTTCTCACCCCCCCCCTTTGTTTAAAAACCCTGGAGGTGTCCTAGAAACCCGACAATTAAAACAATATCGAAATAACATCAGCACTGTGGCTGAGCTTGACAGTACATCTGACCTCTTTAGTAAGCTGCCCTCAAGCAGACCTGGAAAGCCGTTTTCATTCCACTCTGCATTTAATTGGCTTTTTATGCAAGCTAGTAAGGGAGCACAGCTGGGTCCTTTTTATATACAGGTGTTTATTTAGTCGGGGTGGTTTTAAGTGCATTCTAAATCTTCCTATGTTTTATTGTTTCCCCTCTTTTTGTAAGCTACCTTGAGAGGGTTTATGCCCTGGAGGATAGGGGCAGGTGTCAAGTAAAGACGTTGTTTCAGCTAAGAATGGGGATTTAGCTGGCTTCCTCTTTCTCTCTCCCCCAAGCCACCTTGCAACTTTACTTGTTTGTGGCACCATGTTTTGGGCCACGGAGGTGCTTCCCACAATCTGCGCAGCCACTAATTTTTGTTCTTTTTGCCCAGCTTTGAAGTCTGTGATCTTGGAACATCAGGAGCTGCCTTCTACTGAAGGGGACGGCTGTTCCATTTAGCTCAGTATGGACCTGACTGGCAGTAGCTCTCTGGATTTCATGCAAGGCAAGGGTCTTTTCCCAGCAGCCCTACCTGGAGAGGCTGGGGGCCTTTTTCATGTAAAGCAAGTTGCCCCCGCCCTCCCTCAGGAGGCAAGATAGTCTGCATGCGCTGGAGAAGGGAGCGCTGCTTGTGGACTTCCTTCAGCTTCTGCTGCAGCCCTTTCTGCTCTCTCTGGGGAAAACAGACTCCTTGTTATTCCCTTCCCCTGCTAAGTGAGTCCGGGGTTGCAGGTCACGAGTTCCAGAGCTCTGGCTTATGCAGCTGTTCAAAACCAAAACAGAGTCCCATCTGTTTTCTGTTTCTTCAAGAGCAAAAGATTTTGGCCCCATAAGAAGACACTCCCCCCCGCCTGCTTTTTTAAATTAGAAACTGGCTTAAAGTATACACAGCAAAATCAGAATAAGCTGGGAATGGAAATCCAGGCAACCTTGTGGCTTCATTTTGAGCCCTCATCTGGGGGCCAAGGGTTGTGCTGCCCAACAGTTAGAGCAGTCTTTACCAATCTGGGGCCTTCCAGATGTTTTAGACTACAGCTCCCATCTGCCTCTGCTGGCTGGGGCTGATGGGAGTTGTACTCCAAAATGCTTAGAGGGCATCAGGTTGGCAAAGGCTGACTTAGAGAAAGGTTACCAGACGTCCCCGTATTCCTGGGACAGTCTCCGGATTTACAAATCAGTCCCCTGGCAAAATCCATCTATTTCGTAGGAAGTTGAAAAGTGTTCCTGGATTCATTGAAAAAAATCTGGTAACCTTAACTTAGAGGCAGGTCGGGCCAAGACAGAGTCACTCAGCAGATGAAATTCCGTACAACTGAAGAGCAGCATATAGTATTATTTTTGCATGATGATCTTTGAGGATTTCTAAGAGCTGAACGCTTCTCTCTCCAGGTCGGCCCCTGAAACCCTGCAGAGCTGCTGCCAGTCAGTGCTGTGCAGAAACCTGTATTTCCCCTGTGAAAATAAACTTCCGTTTTCCTCTTTCCTTCTCAGGGCTCTGTAGAATTCTGTTGGGCACGGGGTCTTGCTCTTTCTCTGTCATAGACCACATTCACACCATGCAGCTATAGCCCTGTGATGCCACTCTGAACATGTTCTCCTCATTGAGATACCATTCCCAGACTGCCTTAACAATCTGTCACTCTTCCCAGGGAACTCTGGGAATTGTCGCTCTGTGAGGGGAATCGGGGTCTCCTAACAACTCTCGGCACCCTTAACAAACTTCAGCTCCCAGAATTCTGTGGGTGAAGCTATAATTGTTTACAGTGGTATCATAATCAGGGGTGGCCCGCCCTGTTTTGCTGCCTGAGGCGAAATGGGAAGGTCCTGGCACCCCCCGCCCCACAGCCTCACTTTCTGGGCTTACATGGTGGTGGTGGGTGGGGTGCCTGTGGGGACACCTCCCTGAAGGATTCTGCCGCCTGAGGACGGCTGCTTCCCTCTGCCTCGTGGGCAGGACGGTCCTGATCATAGTGCTTTCAATGTATGGTGTGAATGTGGCCGTTGTGAGGTGGCCACGGGTTGGTGTAGGTGTGTGTTATCTTTCCAGTGAACCTTTCTCTAGATATCTGCAGCCTCCCCAGCTGCTCACACTTCCTGACCTGAGCAAGCCACGTGGGAGGGGTTCCCTCCGGTTGCTTCCCCGCAAGGGCACCCGGGAAGGCTTCAGAGCACAGACCACCTATGAGGTGATTTGTGGAATGAAGAAAGGACCCTCCTGCTGCCTCAGAAGTAAACTAAACATGCCCAAAGCCTTGCACCCAAGTCATAAAAAGGCCATCAATACTGTTCCCCCATTAGTAATTTCCAAGATCAATTCCTTTTCTCATGAATGGATGGCAAATTGTTTTTGGGAGGGGGAGCGGAACGTGAAATATTTCTTTGGCGCAGCCTGTGCACCACCTTGAGGTCCTTGGAGGAAAGGTGGAACATAAATGTAATGAAGGATAAAAATACAACAAAAAGAATCACCATCTTGGACATCTGCTGGGATGTATTTTCACTTCAGCTCTCTGGGTCTTAGCTGGTCTTGTGCTCCTCCTTGATTTCTCCATTGCTTAGATTTGTGTGTCGTCCTCACACCTCAGGGGTCTCCTGAAACCAAGCCAGATGGGGCTTTGGAAGCGGGGGAGAAGAGCCCAGCAGAGGACTCTGGAGATGAGCAGGTGCCCAGCAGCGAGAAGGAGGAGGAGCAGGCCTTCCTTGTCAGCCTGTACAAGTTCATGAAGGACCGCCACACGCCCATCGAGAGGGTGCCTCACCTTGGCTTCAAGCAGAGTACGTCCCTTGCCCTCCATTTTGGTTTCCCTCAGGTCCCCATTTTCCAGTGTCAAATTCAGTTCTCCACATTTCTGCAGATATTTTCATAATTTTATCTTACCTTAAAAAAAGTATGTATTATTTATTCCAATTCTTCTGGTGCCCCAGGAAGGTCCAAGGAGCCCTCAGCCACTGGAATTTGGACCTCGTCCCTCCGAAGCTGGAGAAGTGGCAAATGTTAACATCATGTAGTGGTTCTAAAAAATAAATTAAAAAACCAGGCATGGGGGAGGTTTAAGCCTTTCCACTCCAGCCTTGATCTTGGTCACCCCACTTCCCCATGTGTCAATGATCATTAAAAAAACCCCAAAACCTCCTCATATTGGTTCCTGTGCTAATTGCTCTGTGTGTGGTGTTTTTTCGTTTTTTAACCTGAGGTCATGGCTCTGGAGGGAAAGCTTAACCCCCCTCCCCTGCCCCTTGCCTCATTTTTTAAAAAGCCCATGTAATAAGTGATCAGGCCCTTTGATTTCATTAGGCTCAACCTTTCAAGCACGACTTTGCATCCATGAGGACTAGAGGCTTGCTTAAACGAAACCTTTGATCTTCAGGAAGGAGGTTTTCTGCACTTCTAAGGAACTACAGTCTGTTGTTATCTCTTGCTATGCTGATTCCTGGATGTTTTTCTTCTTCTTCTAGTTAACCTGTTTAAGATCTACAAAGTTGTGGAAAAGCTGGGAGCCTACGAACTGGTAAGAAGAAATTATAAATCTGTCTATCATCTTTCTATCTATCGTTTTAATTCTATCAATGTTTTGCTGCATTTTAATGATTGTTTTTTTAAATGATTTTAGCAGTTGTTTTTATCTGTAAGCTGCCTTGAGTCTGACTACGAAAAAGCCACGGTATAAATAAATTTATAATTATTATTGATGCAAGTCCTAGTCCAAAACCTCAGGAGGGTAGCAGATTAGCTAAGGCTGCCTTGGATGCTTTATTTGTGTTCCACTAAATGTACCCATAGCAGCAAGCAACAGAACATAAAGCCTAAACAACACTATTTTCATATTGGTTTACAGTGGTACCTCGGTTTAAGAACAGCCCTATTTACGAACTATTCGGTATATGAACTCTGCAAAACTGGAAGTAGTGTTTCGGTTTACGAACTTTACCTCAGTCTACGAACGGAATCCGAACGGTGGAAGGGCACCAGCAGCGGGAGGCCTCATTAGGGAAAGTGCGCCTTGGTTTAAGAATGGATTTGGTTTAAGAACGGACTTCCGGAATGGATTAAGTTTGTAAACCGAGGTACCACTGTATTATCGCCACACAATATACCATACAAATATAACAGCCACCAGTTTCTATAAGCAGTAAGTAAGGACATACTACAACTAACACTGTTGCCATGAAAGTATTATTCCAGCTTTTGGTGAGATAGGGACATCTTTTGGACTCCAGGGACACTGACAGCCTGTTTGATACCTTTTAAGTTTGTCCCAAATCTCCAGTGATCTAAAATGGCCCATTGATTGATTGATGGATTTGCCTGATTGATTTAATTCATTTATACGCTACCTTTCCACAGCAAAGGGTGCTCAAAGCAGCTCATGACAGGCATCTCTTGTTACCAAAATACATTGGCAAGGTGGAGAAAAAGTAGTTTACGAAAACATATCAGTGAATCAATGATGTTATTGATGCTCACAGCTGTGTGAAGAGCAAGGCGGGGGGGGGGGGAGAGGCCAGCTAGCTCTGGTGGGCAAAAGCGGACTCTTACGCCCAGCATAGGAGTTGGGTGTGAGGCAGCGGGGATCAGAGGAGAGCCATTTTCAGCAAACACAAATAAAAACATTGTGAAACAAACCCTCACCTCAAGCAAAGTAACAGCTGCAGCACACATTTAACGCACTATCATACCACTTTAAATAGTCATGGAATCCCCCCAAAGAATCATGGGAAACGTCGCTTGCTAAGGGTGCTAAAATTCCCAGAGTTCCCTGGGAAGAGGGATTGATTGTTCAACCGTTCTGGGAACGGCATCTCTGTGAGGGGAATTGTGGTCTCCCAACAGCACCCTTAGCAAACTGCACTTCCTGGGAAGCCATGACTGTTTAAAGTGGTGTGGTACTGCTTTAAGTGCATAGTGCAGTTGGGCGCTAGTGAAACGCCGCTCCAGTTGTTGCTGCTGTAATTTAGGGCAACCTCATTATTGCAAACTACATTTTGAATCTTGAAGCTGGGAGAGGCTAGGAAGAAGCTGCCTGCCGGATCAGACCAAATGCTCGTTGAGTCCAGCATCCTGTAGCCTGTGGTCACAGTGGCTGAGCCCACAAGCAGGACTGGAGGCAGGAGCACTCTCAAAATTGTGTTCCCCAGCAACTGACATTCTCCTTACCCCCATTCTGCCAAGGGATGGTTTATCTTTTCTTGTGAATGGTGAATGTTTGTGTGTTCGTAATACTGACTTGCTCTCCCCCCCCCCTTGGCATCTCGGGGCTTCACTCGTTTGCTTCCCATTGTAGGTCACTGGGAGGCGTCTTTGGAAGAACGTGTATGACATGTTGGGGGGCAGCCCAGGGAGCACCAGCGCCGCTACTTGCACCCGGAGGCATTACGAGAGGTATTGGACTGCTGCTGCTTCTCTTTTCACTAGCCTTGGCCATCCTGGCACCCTCCAGATGTTGCTGGACTGTGCTGGCTGGGTCTTGCAGTCCAGTAATGTCTGCACGATCTACCTGGTCCTGCAAGAAAGAGACCTGCCTGGGAGGCACAAACAAGGCCAGGGTCAGACAGTGAGGTTCTCTCCAGATGTGGAGGGACTCCAACTCCTGCCGGCCTCATCCAGCATGGCTGGGTGTTGTAGTCCAGCCATAACATCTGGAGGACCCCACTTCAGCTCCCGAGGCAAGACAGTGGATCTAAATGTTGCACCCAGAAAGTCTCTCTTGGATTTTGCACTTGAACTGAACTGCAAATAAATAAGCAAAGCCTTCAGTAAAATACATTTATAAGTAAGAGATCAATCAACCACAACTTTAGTTTCGTGCTCTTTTAATTTTTTGGACTATTTTGCTTCTGGTGTGTTTCAGTAATAGGGAAGGAAAAGGTCACTTTCTGTTCCTTTCTAAGTATCTATACCAGTTCCTTCTAAGAATCAAAAACCTCTGGTTTAATAAACATAACTATTTTGCACTTCCTTCGGTATCTTCAAAAGGCACCTCATGGTGATGTGCTGGCTTTTATTTAAATGTAACTCACTCGGGGCATAGCATGGGGGGGGGCTTCTGGGGCAACTGCCCTGGGCACATGGGGGGGGGGGTGTGCTGCTAACGCCGCCCTCGCTGAGCCAGCCCTGCACCGGTGTCGCTCCGGCGACTCGTGTCACTTTGGTGGCAGGGGCTGGCCAGGCGCAGGGGGCTCCTTCGCCCTCCACTTGCAGCCCCCTGGTGAGGATGCATACTTCCTCCCTGGACAGGCTGTGAGCATGCTCCGCTGCTGTAACTAACTGCCAAATTTAAAGCCGTTTATGGCTCTGCAGTAAAGTATAGGTAGTCAAAGCTCGTAACTTGGGCTTATCAATGCTTTAGCATGTTTTGCTCCATATATATAATTTTGGCAAGGAGTAGCTTAATGGAGAAAGGGCAGGTAATTATTCTAAAACTGAGCTTTCACTGGCAACTTTGGGCTGGAGATACTGCTTGTGTATTTCAAACACACTTTCACAACCATGAGGACTAGACGCTTTCTTTAAAGTTTTAAAACGACAGCTGAGTCAAAAATCTGCTGCGTTTGGCAGAACCTGTGGGGAATTCTGCATGTGTGGGTTGGCTGTGGGGCTGAGGAACTCCAGTAGCGGGTGTGGCCAGCTGGCCGATGGCCTCTCACTGTCCCGCCATGTCATGATGTTCTTTTCCTTGGCTTGTACCTGCTTCTCAGGCTGGTCCTCCCGTACGTCCGGCACCTGAAAGGCGAAGACGACAAACCCCTGCCCCCTGCCAAGCCCCGGAAGCAGTACAAGGTGTCCAGAGAGCCAAAGGGGGCCAAAGGGAGTGGGCCTGTGGAGAAGAAGAGGGCCAAGAAGGAGAAGCTGAGGGACCAGGTAAAGCTCTCCCAGAGCTGGTGGGGTTCGGGTGCCAAAACATTGGGGCAGTGTAATTTTGGGGGACCTTATGCCTCCCGCCCCCTGGTCTGTTTCTCGGCTAATAAATACAGTCGTACCTTGGGTTACAGATGTTTCAGGTTGCGCGTTTTCGGGTTGCACACTGCGCCAAACCTGGAAGTACCAGAAGGGGTTACTTCCGGGTTTTGGCGCTAGCGCATGTGCAGAAGCGCTAAATCGCGCTTTGCACATGCACAGAAGTGCCGAATCATGACCCGCGCGTGCACAGATGCGGCGCTGCAGATTGCGAACGTGTCTTCCGCACGGATCACATTTGCAACACAGGCATCCGCTGTACCACCAATCCCTTTGGCTTGGAACATTTTTGGAGCTTGACTGCCCTCTAGCGGTCAGTCAATAACAACCACCTTCATCTGATTTGCTTTGCCTGTTAATTCAGGTCAGGGTAAATTGGCTTGTGTACCTGCCCAGCACCTGACCATAGCTTTCAACTTTTCCCTTTTCTTGTGAGGAATCCTATTCGGAATAAGGGAATTTCCCTTAAAAAAGGGAAACGTTGACAGCTATTCACCTGACACCTCATGGGACTTCAGGGGTGGTTTGGAGGAAATGGCCTTGTGGGTCAGAGGTGCTGTCACTGGTCTAGGAGGCTGAGCAGGGAGATTTGCAGATGGGGGAGTGGAGGAGCAGGGCTGGCAGCAAGGGCCTTTGGCTTGGAAACTGGTAAAACTTAGAAGCGTGTAGCACAGTTGGCTGGAACCTTGTGGGCTTCCCGATGTTGCTGAACTACAGCTGCCATAAACCCCTGCAAGGAGTGACGGTGGCCAGGAATGATGGGAGTTGTGGTTCAGCTGAAGTTTCCCCATATCTGGTTTAGCTGGGTTGCTGTGTATTCTGCAGTGTTTGGCATTGGATCAGAACTCGGGTTCCTGATAATGGTTTTTTAAATGTAAGTTTCAAGCCTTTCTTTCCCTGAAGTGAGCAGGCAGTTCCTGCTGAAATTCCATCTGCCAAAAGGCAGGGTTTTGAGGCACCATGTAGAAAACAGTGTGCAAAAGCATTTTTATTTTCATCCTTTAATTCAGACTGCAATAGGAGTTTGGGCTGATTTAGTTCATTTTCTTGTTTCAAGTGCAGAGAACACACAGATCTGAGTTTCTGAGCTGTAAAGAGAGTAGTAGTAAGGAACATTCTCTGCACCCTCTGCTGTATCTTGTGGGGTGAAAACATCAGCAGGGTGGGGGTTGGCATTCTGGCTGGGGCTGAGGCAAGTTGCAGTCCAAGGCAGCCGGAGGGAACCCAGTTCACTGGCTTAACTTTCCATGCACCACAGTCCATGTTATTAGGGGCATGAAGTGCAGTTCTGAACTGGCAAGCGCAGAAGGCACAGACAAGGATTCCTTGGAAGCGAAACAGCTGCAGCGACGAATTAATAGTACAGCTATGATATTACCTGGGGCTGCACCTCTATGCGCTCCATTCACCTGTACCCCAAGTTGCCTCCCCCCTTCCTGACAGGTCCCAATCTCCACCTGTACCGTAAATGTCTCTTTTGATTGCAGATCTTGCCAGAGAAGCCGACCCCTGATGCTGCCTCTGCTGCCAAGCCTGCCAGCGACCCCCAGCAGAGCCAACTGCAAGAGCAGCCCGAGGGGTGCCCCTCTCTTCCAAATGGCCGCGAGGCCTCTGAGAGCCAGGCCCCTGACGCCTGCCGTGGCAACTGCCGTGCCCATGGCTGCTCCGAGGCCTACAAGAGGCTCTTCTCCAGCTTCTACTTCAAAGGGAACCACGGCATCATGTCTCCCTTGGCCAAGAAGAAGCTCCTGGCTCAGGTGAGCAAGGATGAGTCCCTGTATGGTCACCAGAAGCACCTCAGCCACTGCCCAGAGTACAAGAAGGCCAGGATCCGAGAGGTCCCTGGCTCGGACACAGAGGCTGGTCCCAAGAATCCGCTGGCCACCAGCCTCCCCCTGAAAGAGGGGCAAACTCCAGCGCGGGAGGTAGACGGGTCCATTGGCTCAGCTGGTTCCTCTCAGCCCTCGAAAGCCAGTGAAGGGGGGTTGAAAGCGTCCCCGAGCCTCACGGAGGGCCACCTGCCTCAGAAAGCAGACGACGCTTGCTGCGGGGGCCACCCATCGCCTGGTCTACCTCTCGTCAGGGGCTACTTCCACACATCCCGAGGTGAGGTCATGAAACCCATAAGTTGCCATCCTCTTCGAGGACCAGTGGAGTATTATGGTGGCTTTAAGAATTTCCCGGAGGTGGCAGCAGCTTCTGCCTATCAGCAGCCTGGCAGCGATGTGCTGTTGAGTCGCCTGCCTCAGAAAAAGCAGGAAGGCTCCGAAGACCAGCCAGAAGATCTCCGCCGGAAGCCGAGTCAGCCTCTGCCCTCCTGGAGAGGGGATGGTCAGCAGCAAACCTCCCCCTTCCGGGTGAGCAGCCCCGGGGGCAAGAGAGGCTCCTCCCCCTTTCCCCACGCCAAGCCCTCGTGGGCGCCCCCGGTGGCCACCCTGGCCAAGGTCAGCCCGCAAGTCCTTAAGAACGGAGGCCATTCAGTTTCTCAAGTGCAGGCCGGCAGTTTGGCTCAGAAGAAACGAGCCATGGAAGAGGAGCTGTTCCTGCAGGGCAAGAGGCTGAAGGCCGTCACCCCTTTCGTCAAGGAGGTGCAGTCCAGCAATGGGCTGGAGCGTGGCACTTCCCCGAGCGGCCAGCAGGCGGTGGCAAAGCCCAAGGCTGCTGTGCAGAGTTCAGGTTTTCCAGTTGCTCCCGTGCCTCAGGTTCAGGATATGTACAAAGGGACGATGTTGAGGCTCCCTGTGAACTTTAGCACCCCGGGGGAGCACTTGAAAGGGCAGTCGGGCTCACTGATTCCTTCCCTGTCCATCAGTCCGTTCATTATCCCGGCCTTCCCCACCCCCTTATTAACTGCTTCCGTTCAGCCCTCTGACCTGTGCCAGCCGCTGGCCCACTACCCCACCTCTTACGACAGTGTTCTCCGCCACCGCCTCTACCCGGTTTCAACGTGGCACAGCCAGCCAGCCTACGCCTCCCCCCACGTGTCAGCCTTCCACCGGAACACCAAGCTGTAGCCTCCAGCCGGGAGCCCCCAGGGGGCGGCAAGGTTTTTGGACCAGGCACACCACAAGTTGGAATCTGCAGCTGCGCTGCGTTGCCAGCATTTGGGGCTGCCCAATCTTTGAAGGCTCTTCCTTGGGAAAGCAGCAGGGATGCAACCGTCAGGACCGTGTAATTTTCGTTTTTAAACAAAAACCAAACACTTCCACTCACCCGCAAAACTCTTGAACTTTGAAATGTATTTGTATCTGGTATGATATGCAAATGATGTGCGCAAAAGAACAACAACAACCATTAGGGAACAAAGCTCCTATAAAGAGAGATTTATATCTGTGGTAATGCTGGGCGCAATTCCGTTCCGATTCTTTCCTACATTATAAACACAAGTGCCTAGTCCTCAAGGTCTCTGTTTGAGCTTGGCTGTGGGGGAGGGGCTGAGGGTGGCTTCCTTTGTGCAGACAGGTGCCCTGAGCCTGCTCAGAGGGGAGGGGAGCTTACTGGCCAGCAAACGGCACTCTGTGCATGAACGGAATCCTCTCCGCAGCGTGGGAAGAAAAGAATCCCAGCCAGTCAATGGGATCCATGCCCAGTTGAGTGTTTATGTTTAGTGCTGCTTTGCAAGTGCACTGCACCATGGGCCTGGGAGTTGTGGAGGGTGGAAGAGAGGCTCAGGTGTGCGTCTATGCCCCCCCCTTTCTGGTGAATGCCAGGGTTGGCTGCAGCTCTCAGCGCTGCAACATGTAAAACATCTCCTCTTTCAAGACTCCTTTTCACCCCCTAAGCACCTCTAGTCTCCTTGCTCAGGCTAGTTGTGCAGCATCTGCCAAAGCGAAAGACTGTCCTACATCCATTCAGTGGGGCTTACCCCACCCTTCCATTTCCATTGCCAGGAATGGGAAATCAGGTGGTGGTGGGGTTTGATGTGAGACAGGTACCCTATTCCCTAAACACATTTTTCTTCTCACAGCCCAATGTGGAAATAAATAAACTGGAGGCACCTTTCACCTGTCATCCAAAAAGGTTTACATTCTGGGTGTGTCAATGCAAACAAGTCTTTGTCCTCTGTGGCCATGTCTCTCTGGATTTTGAATTAGGGGAGTGTTTTCAGGATGACTCCTAGAAAAAGAACAGCCAGCCTCCCACTTCAGATCATTCTCCCCATTGACAGTAGCTGAAGGTTCCAGTTGTGCCCAGTGCACCAGAATTAATGGTCCACAGTGGTGGTTGATTGAAAGCCCCGAGTGGTAATTCTTACAGAGTTGCAGCAGGTGTCCTCCAGCCAGGGCAGCTAAGAGAGCTTTTGTGTTGTGCTGGCTGTGATTGGCTGGCTCATTTGTGACTGACAAGGCTTCTTGAAAGGGGTGGATGTCCAGAAAATTCAACTCCTGGAGGTGCAGCAACTTCTGGAGAAGGGAGTGTTTTGAGATTAAAAAAGGAAGCCCATTCAGTCCTCTGCTAAGAGAAATTGGCAGAATTTAAAAATACTTGCAAACACCCTGAAGTTGTAAGCCTGTGTGTACTTACTTTGCAATGGGCCCTGTCAGATGGGTGTGTTTCGTCTGGATAAGAGGAGACAGAGGAACTATGAGAGCCACTTTCAAATATCCAAAGGGCTGTCACATGGAAGATGGAGCAAGCTGGTTTTTTCCTGCTCCAGAACCAGTGGCTTCAGGTTACAGTGGTACCTCGGGTTACAGACGCTTCGGGTTACAAACTCGACTAACCAGAAAGTGGTTGTTCCAGGTTAAGAACTTTGTCCCAGGATAATAACGGAAATCGCACGTCAGCGGCAGTGGGAGGCCCTGTTAGTGAAAGCATGCCTCAGCTTCTAATTTCTCCCACTCTCTTTCCCCAAGAGCCTACACTAGCGCAAATTTAAAATAGTTGTGGACCACTAAGGTCCGCAGAGATCAGAGAGACTGCTCTGTCATTACCTTATGAAAGTTGAAATATTTTTTTTAAAAAAATTATTTAAAAATTATGAAAGTTGGATTGCCCTGATATAGAGAGTATTATTTAAAATTGTACAGTAGTCTGGTGGAACTACTCTTCTGTAAGCAAGTGAAAGTAATTCCTTTCTCACAGCAGAAGGGTATCCAGCGATAGAGGGTCCTTGGAGCACCCCACAAGCGCCTAACCTTTGCTCCCATAGGGTCACAAGCAAGAAACTTCAGCCAGAAGATGGAAGCAAAACAGCAGCCAGTAGGCCTGATCTTTATTGTTGCAACAAGACTTCCCACTCCCACAAAGATGAAGCAGCCAGAAGCCCCAGTCAATGGTTACATCAGTATTTTAAGTTTCCGAAAGTTTCCCATAATACATCTCAGGATGCATCATCAAGACATCATAGAAGTGTCACAGAAAAGGTGTGGTCTCAGGTGAGATCTAGGCATGCCCCTGTCACTCAAATACAGTGGCACCTCGGGTTACAGACGCTTCAGGTTAAAGACGCTTCAGGTTACAGACTCCGCTAGCCCAAAAATAGTACCTCGGGTTAAGAACTTTGCTTCAGGATGAGAACAGAAATCGTGCAGCGGTGGCACAGAGGCAGCGGGAGGCCCCATTAGCTAAAGTGGTGCTTCAGGTTAAGAACAGTTTCAGGTTAAGAACGGACCTCCGGAACAAATTACAGTGGTACCTCAGGTTAAGTACTTAATTCGTTCCGGAGGTCTGTACTTAACCTGAAACTGTTCTTAACCTGAAGCACCACTTTAGCTAATGGGGCCTCCCGCTGCTGCCGCGCCACCGGAGCATGATTTCTATTCTCATCCTGAAGCAAAGTACTTAACCCGAGATAATATTTCTGGGTTAGTGGAGTCTGTAACCTGAAGCGTATGTAACCTGAGGTACCACTGTAAGTTCTTAACCCAAGGTACCACTTTACAGTCTTTCACACTTCCTCCAGCACAGTAGAAAGGAAAGCATTTACAGTTCCCTGGTCTCTGAGTCAAGTCAAATACACCCCTTCGTCTTGTCCGGGCTTCATCCCACTATGGAGCGGGTAGGCATTGTGATTGACATGGTTATCTGTCTTGGGGCAGGATATCACCAATCACGACTCCTTGGAAGGCTCTGCAGACCTGACTGTACATCTTGGGGATTATGGTGGGCTCGCTCACCCCATCCCTTACAACTTGCTTCCCTGGCTCCTAAATGCCATTGAAACTGACAAGATTGATACAACAAGTAAGTGATTTCTTACGAATTTCTAAAGTTTTTCTATAGAGCCAGTACATTTATCAGTGAATTGCTACATCTGGTATTGACACTTTCCCTGTTTTCCTTTGTTGGAGGCCTGGGGCTCAGCAGGGAGTTGCAGGATCCTGAATTGAGCTCCCCTTGCAGATGCAATGCCTTTGTAGATATGCTGCTGTTATTTTCTCTTGACGCTGGAGGATTTGGATTGAGGGGTGAAAGGCAAGGAAATACCTCTGTGGTCCGTGTGTCAGTGAATGGCTTGGTGATGTGCAGCAGAGACTCTTTGGCTTTGCCTTGTGGTGTGGAGAGGCAAGGCGGGAGGGTGGGGGGTGGTCTCTCACCCCCCCCTTTCCAATTTCCCAGTTACATATCCTCAGCCAGCTGTGAGGAAAATATTTCCCCCTAAGCTGGGGTAGCAGGCAGCTGTGCCAGTGAGAGAAGGCAAGCTGGATATGACAATTTGGGTAATTTTTGTTCTGCCTGGATTTTCCCCAATTTTGCTCAAAATAGATTTGAGTGAGAAATTTCATCTTGGCCCCAGACCAGTGGGGGGTATTTGAAAATTACTGCAATCTAGAAAAACAAGTGTAAAGTTGCAATGGTATTCTGTACAAAGAAAGCCCAAAGTTCATAGTTCAGGCTTCCTCAACCTCGGCCCTCCAGATGTTTTGAGACTACAATTCCCATCATCCCTGACCACTGGTCCTGCTAGCTAGGGATCATGGGAGTTGTAGGCCAGAAACATCTGGAGGGCCAAGGTTGAGGAAGCCTGTCATAGTTGCTAACTCAGATGCCTTTGAAGAGGACTGGGGAAATTCACGAAGACAAAACTATCAATGGTGGTTGGATAGAATAACTGTGGGCTTCCCAGAAGCACCTGTGCTGGATTAGAGCAACCTTAGCTTTGACCCAGCAGGGCTGGCTCCAGCTTTTCAAGAACCACTAGATTCTGCCAAACTGGCAAGGCCAGCCCAACACATTTTGCTCCCTGAGGCCAATAACAAAATGGCACCACCCCCGTGAACCCCACTTTGCTACTAGTGCTGCTCCTGAGGGAGATCAGCAGGGTGGATCTAGAGGTGGAGAGCAAGGTGCAGGACACACAGCTCTCTTCTCCAACAGAAGGGCATGGCCAGGGAGCTCAGGAGGAAGCCCTGTGGGCACCACTGCCTCCCAGCGCATGCCACCTGAGGCAGTTGTCTCACTCTGCCTAATGGTAGGACTGGCCGTGAAAAGTGACCCAAACTGCCAGGAGCATGGTCTGAAGGTGTGCAATGCAGCAGCTCGGATGAAGCTGCCTGGAAGAGAGAATGCCTGGAAACCTCATGCATCCCACCACCTTTTGCTTCATGGATCAAAGGATGATGTTCATTGTTAGGCACACAAGTCAAGAGGCGACTCGTAGAGCTACAACCAAAGGATGGAGACATGCTGCCACCTGCTTAGTCTATTATTGTTAACACTTGCTAGATTCTTTATACAAAAAAGAGTCACAAAGATAACAAATAAAAGCAGTTAACACCTAGAAAATTTAAAACAGTGCACAACACAAAATGCCTAAGATGCACATCCAGTAAAAGGAGACCCCCCCATTAAAGGGTGAGCCCCCCACCCCATTATAGGGTGAGGCCAGCTTAGCTACCAGAGTCCTGAGTCAATACAAATATTTTGGCTGGGTGCCTGAAAACAGATAATGATGTTCCACCAGCCTTTTCCCCTTGGGAAAGCATTCCACAAATGGCTACTTAAAAGTAGTTGTTGTTTAGTCGTTGAGTCGTGTCCGACTCTTCGTGACCCCCTGGACCAGAGCACGCCAGGCACTCCTGTCTTCCACTGCCTCCCCCAGTTTGGTCAGACTCAAGTTTGTAGCTTCGAGAACACTGTCCAACTGTCTCCTCCTCTGTCGTCCCCTTCTCCTTGTGCCTTCCATCTTCCCCAACATCAGGGTCTTTTCCAGGGAGTCTTCTCTTCTCATGAGGTGGCCAAAGTCTTGGAGCCTCAGCTTCAGGATCTGTCCTTCCAGTGAGCACTCAGGGCTGATTTCCATAAGAATGGAGAGGTTTGATCTCCTTGCAGTCCATGGGACTCTCAAGAGTCTCCTCCAACACCAGAATTCAAAAGTAGGCATGGCTAATTCCCATTGGGTGAAAGGCAGGGAGCCCAACAGTAGGTGGCACCAGAGCCTATGGCAGGCAGAGCCAACTTTGAGTGTTGTCCTCCTGTTTGCTGAGTTCTACCAGGGCAGTGCTGAGACTAAGGAGGAGGAAGATGAGTTGGCCGAAGACCGGCTGAGGTTGGGGGGGGGGCAGTGCCCCATACACACTAATAGGCCAGCCCACACCAACTCAGTGCAGTGTGTGTGTCTCTATAGATCTTTAAAAAAAACTTTTTGAACAAGCTCAGTTTTGTTACACGCCACCCGATTCTTCACCGCAGTTGGAGGTTCCAGGAATTGCAGGTGTTTCCTTTGGAAATGAGGCACAGCGGAGACTCTGGTGTCTTCATGATATACAGTTTATTTACACATATAAGCTACCTTTCCTTACTGTGGAGGAGTCCACAGCATTACACTCAAAGCGTCTCTCTCATGGCTGCAATGTTGCCTCCAAACTGCCTGCCCCCATGGTGCTCCAACCCCCCTTTTTCTCCAGGTCCCCAACTGCTTCCTAAAACTCCACTATTTCCCCTCTGCTTACACCAGCCCACTGCGATTCTGAAACTCCCCCCTCCCAACTCTGCATTGTCTTTTACTAACTACTCAGGGTGGGTCTCTACCCCTCTGAGTTTGGCAGGCAGAGAGTCCTTGCCTTGTTGTG